TGAGCGCTAGGGTGGCCGGCATGCGCTGGGGCGCCTGGCTGCTGGTCTTTCCTGTTCCCCTTGTGTCCCTGCAGTAGCGTTTGGTCAGGGGAGCTCTCCGGCAGGTCCTGACTGTGGCTGGCCCGGTTCTCCTTCCTAGCCCCTGCTCGGTCCTGGCTGCCCTCAGCCTGGGCTCTGGTGACCCTTCTTCCTGCCACGTGTTGCAGTGTGGTTCTGACCTGGGCCTTTGCACACCTCACTTTCGTGCTCTCGTGCCCAGCAGGGCGCCTGGTGACGGAATGCTGCGAGATCAGTGGTGGGAGTCTCCCTACTCGCCTGCACCATGTCACCTGTCCCCCGGGATGGCCACAGGGGCAGGGCTGAGTGCCACAGGCACGGGAATGAGCAAACACACCAAGGACCTTTGGGCCTTGGCGACCTGGCAAAGGGATCACGTCCCCGGAGCTTTCCAGCCCTAACCGAGTGGCCAGGAATTTCTGCTTAGGTACAAGGCTTCCCAGCCTGTCAGCCCGGTGCTCCAGGACATTTGTCTGCTCTGCTGTTGTTTATTTCTGCGCTGGGAACAGAGCCCCGGGCCTCGAACCTGCTCGGCGAGCACTCAACTGCTGAGCTCAGGCAGAACAGCATTTTGAGGCTGGCACGAGCCGTGATTAGGATGGACACCGAGACGGTGCTGGGACTCCAGCCTCCGGCCTCAAGTGCGGCGCCTTCGGCTGGGCCTCGTGGCACGAGCCTGCCTGAAGCAGCGCTCTGCGAGGCTGAGGCAGGAGGGTGGCAAGTTGGAGCCCAGCCTGGACAGGTTAGGGGTTGCGAGAGACCCTGTCTTAAAATAAAAAGGGCTGGAAGTGTGGCTTGGTACAGAGGGCTCAGTGCGCCCAGGGCAGCCCTTTCCGTGGCCTTGGTGTTCAGGGTGCCGGCGCAGAAACCCTGCCGGAAGCTTCAGCTGGTCCCGCATGGGAGCAGGCAGTGCTCACTGGCTCGCATCCGTGTGAGATTTCACAACTCCTTCAGTGTTTTGAAACAGTCTCAGTATTCAGAACAGGGTGGCTTTGCACTCCACTGTACAGTACAGGATGGGCACAGTCTAATAATCCTCCTACCTCAGCCTCCTGAGGTGCACCCCGCACCCAGCTAAGATTTCACAGTTTGCGTCCGAGCTGAGTGTTCATCCATTCATATTTTTGGTACTGGAATTGCACCAAGGGCCTTTGCACAGCGAGATAGTGTCTTTTTTTTTTATTGTACCAGGATTTAAACTCAGGACCTTGCACCTGCCAGGCAGGCCCTAGCCCTGAGATAGTGTCTTGCTAAGTTGTTAAATTGCCTGGGCTGGACTTGCATTTGTGACCCTCCTGCCTTAGCGTCCCCAAGTGCTGGGATGATAGTGTGCACTCCCACGACTACGATGCCATCTTCTTTCTTTTTTTTTTGTGCCAGGAATCGAACTTGTGACCTCGCGCTTGCCAGGCAGGCGCTTATGCCACTGAGCTAAATCCCGGCCTCTTTTTTTTCGGTACCATCACTCGTTGCCCTGAGGGTCCCCGTCACTGCAGCCTGGGGCCAGAGTGTTCCCTGGGTGGGCGTCCTGGGCACTATAGGGGGCCGAGCAGCATCCTTGGCCTCTATCTGCCCCGTGCCAGGGACACCTCCATCCTGACAGCCTCCAGTGGGCCCCGGCATTGCTCAGTGTCCCCTGTGGTTGGGGTCACCCCTTGCAGAGCCATTGCTTAACCAGGCTGGCTGGGGTCCTGGTTGGCAGGTTGGGGGCAGGCAGTGGAAGGTCGGGGTCCTGGGGTTGCTGTCTTGCTCACCCATCATGTGGCTGCTCTGCTCAGTTGTTCTTGAGGCTTGTTTATGTCTCCTCTTGTCCCCACTTATTCTTTTGTTTGTCCCAAGACAGTCTCCCTGTGTAGTCCAAGCTGGCCTTGGATTCATGGTGTAGCTGGCCTTAAACACCAGTGGATCCTCCTGCCTCAGCCTCCTTAGTGCTGGAGTATGGGAATGCACCAGCATGCCCTGCTTCTGCCTGGTCCCGGACAGGGAGCTGAGGACCCTGTGCTTTGCCTGGGCCTACAGCAGATATAGACAGGACCATTTCCTTCCAGGCTTGGCACCATGCAGTCCCTTCCTCGTCTTTGGTCCCAGAACCAGCTGAGAGTGGCCTGTCGGGTGGCCTGTGTTGGGAGGCCTGGGTACAGAGGGCCAGCCCTGCCTGCCTCTCAGGGAAGGAGTTGAAGGCCACAAGATGCATCCCTACCTGTGTGCAGAAAAGACCCAAAGTCCCTGTGCTTGGTAATGGGGCAGTTTTAGAATTGCTGACTGTACACCTGTCATCCAAGCACTCAAGAGGCTGAGGCAGGAGAGTGGTGAGTTTGAGGCTGCCTAAGCCACGTAGTAAGACCCTTGTCCCCTCACAAAATTTATTAAAAAAAAAAAAAAAACCTGGCTGGATTCATGTAATTTGGGAGGCACCCTGAGAATGTGGATATGTATTTAATTATTCAGTTAGTTTTTGAGGCAGGGTCTCACCACACAGTTCATGCTGACCTTGGATTCACCATACAGTCCAGGCTGGCCTCGAACTCGCAGCAGTCCTCCTGCCTCAGCCTCCTGAGTGTTGGGATTACAGATAGGCACTATCACACCGACCACGATCTGAATTTTTATTTTGTTGTTGTTGTTGTTGTTGGTACCGGAGATCAAACTCATGACCTTGCGCTTTCCAGGCGAGTGCTTGAGCCGCTCAGCTGAGCCCCGGCCCCCAGATCTGGGGTTTTAGGAAGGAGCACACCGGGGAATTCTGGTGTGCAGCCCAGGTTTTAATGGCCCGTTTTCCTGTCCCCTGAGATTTTCCGTAAAGGAAGTGTGTCTCGGGCTGCAGCTGGAGTCACCGTCACCGGAGAGAAGTTGATTCCACATGGAGCCGTCGGCTCAGCGCCCGGGAACTCTCCTGAGGTCACACCTCTGGTTTTTTAGAAGCGCCACGTCTACGTCACGCCTCAGGGTGTCTCTAGTTTGGGGTCTCAGTGTGCGGCCGTCCCTCGAGGTCCCTGGGGCCCCCACGGGTGCTGGAATCTGCAGATGTTCAAGTCCTTTCAGTACAATAGGTAGAGCTGGCGGCATGGTGGCCCAGGGCTATAATCCCAGAACTTGGAGAGGCTGAGGCAGGAGAATTACAAGTTCAAATCTGACTTAGCAAGACCTAATGTCAGAATATGAAAAATACGTAAAAGAGGGCTGGGGGGTGTAGTTCAGTATTGGGACCTTAGGTTCAGTCCCTAGTACCATCCATCAGTCAGTCAACGAATCAAGCAATCAGTGGCTAGTTTTTGCACTACAGCCATTGGCGTCCTCCCCAGATGGCTTGTGAGACCTGATGCAGTGTGAACGTTGTGACAGTTGTGCCAGTGTGTCATTTAGGGGATGGTGACACACAGGCTGCTATGTGTTCAGGATGCGCAAAACTGCAGTTTTTTCTCTTCAGCAGTACAGGAAGTGGAACGCGCCCTGTTGGTTTAACCTGGGCACACAGACTCATTTTTCATTGTTTTTTTTGTTTTTGTTGTGTTTCTGAGGCAGCATCTCACTATGCCATCCAGGCTGGCCCTGACTTCAGTTCATAGCCCCGGCTGGCCTTGAACTCCAGGTGGTCCTCCTGCCTCGGCCTCCTGGGCTGCCGGCACTGTTGGTGTGCCCGATCATACCTGGCCGGGCTTGGCTCTTCTTTGGAGTAATTTTGGGCTGCATTCTCTTTTTTTTTTCTTTAGACAGGAGCTCACTGTGTAGCCCAGGCTGCCCTTGAACACACAGCGATCTTCCTGCCTCAACCTCCTGAGTGCTGGGATGACAGGCGTGCGCCACCACGCGGCTTCCGGGAGCTTTCCCAAGGAGGTCATGCACCGGGAGCTGAGTTGCCCGTTAGGTGCCAGCATTCTCCTTACAGCGGCCATTGCCCCATCCACCCCCACCCGCCAAACGTTGGGTCCAGCTCCGCAACTCCCATGACCGCACCTCCGTTCTTTCCCTTTTAAATCGAAAGCAGTTGATGCCATGGGGGTGACACGCTTCTGTCATCCCAGCACTCGGGAGCTGAAGCAGGAGGATCTTTGTGACTTTGAGACCAGCTGGGCTACAAAGGGAGTTCAGGGCCAGCTGAGCTGTGTGGCAAGCAGGCTGGACTCAGGGCAGGCACCAAGGACCCCAGAGCAGGACTTCGTAACTTGAAGCGTGTTGACCAGATACATGATGCTCATTCCATTCTCCTGAGTTGTCATAAAATATTTACCACCATGCGTCCTACGGAACAGTGGCCTCTCCCAGGTCCCTGTGCAGTTGGCAGGCTTGGGGTGACAGGAGGGGCACAGGGGCACAGGTTCTGTCTCTGGGGGATGAGGTCAGCTGCTTGGGGACAGGGATGGGCCTGCAGTGCAGTGCTGAGCTGGCCCCGGGAGATGCCTGGGCTGTGCACCACCCACAGCACCGGGCCCGTTGTCGGGGACAGGCCGGGGCCCACAGTGTGGCTCTTGGCCCTGTGGTGAGAGGGCAGCAGTGAGGGTGAGCAGCACCCCTGCGTCAGCCCAGCAGGTGGCCCTGATCCTGAGGCAGCCACAGCCGCCCTGGTGGGCAGTCAGAGCTCCCCTGGGACTGATAGCAGTTGCACAGGCCGCCGGGTCTGTGCAAAATAGCCATGGCCCAGGATACGCCATCGTCTCCACGAGCAGTCCCCTGCGCCCTCTTTGGCCTCAGAAACCCATGAGTCCATTCCCTGTCTCATAGTCCGCCTGTCCATGGGGCTGGCCTGGAGCTCCCTTTCTAGCCCAGGCTGGCCTCAAATGTGCATCGATCCTTCTGCCTCGGCCTCCTGAGTGCTGGGATGTTGGGATGACAGGCGTGCGCCACCACGCTGGGTGGCTGGCTGCGGCATTCTGGGGCAGCAGTCTGCACCGTGCCAGCTGGATGTCTGTGGCTCATGCCGGCGCTGCTGTGCTCTTCCGTCCCAGGCGAAGTACATCTCTCAGTGCATCGATGAAATCAAGCAGGAGCTGAAGCAGGACAACATCGCTGTGAAGGCCAATGCGGTCTGCAAGCTGACGTATGTAAGTGGCCCTCGCCGCTCTGGGGCGGTGCCCACCACAGCCAGCCGCCCTTCCCGTCTCCAAGTCCACTCCACCACCTGGTGTCTGTCCATCAGCCCCTCCACAACCATCCCTGCCACCCGCCATGCAGGGCTGATCAGAGTGGCACCCTGAGGACCACGGGCACGGCCAGCCTGGAGGGAGCACCCGCCCTTCAGCTCCTCAGCCTCGGGCAGCAAAGGGGCTGTTCCCGTGGGTCCCTGCTGCAGGCCTGTGTCACCCCAGACTGTGACGAGGAGCCTCTTTGCCAGTTCCTGGTGGGGAACGTTAGCCTGCGGAAGCAGGGCCCAGCCTTCCGATGGCAGGAGCTGAGCGTTTGTCTTTTTCTCCCTTTCGTGGTACTGGGGTGACTGAGGGTCTTCCTGCTGAGCTGAGTTCTCAGCCCTTTTTTGTTTTGAGATGGTCCTGGTAAGTTACTGACTTAAGCTGGACTTGAACTTTCTTTTCATAGTAGAAATCAAGCTCAGGTCCATGTGCTTTCCTGGCAGGCACTGTGCCACTGAGCTATGTCCCTGCCCCCGCCTTTTTCTCCCAAAAGAAAACAACATGGTCTGGCTACATTGTTCAGGCTGGCCTTGAACTCACTTTGTAGCTACACTGGCCTCAGACTCAGTGATTCTCCTGCCTCAGCCTCCTGAGCTTGGGGATTACAGGTGTGCGTCACCACATCCAGCCTAAACTTTTTTGTGTGTGTGTGGTGGAAACAGGGTCTTGCTGTGAGTTCAGTCTGGCCTTAAACTCACTAGGTGACCTCAAACTCGCAGGGATCTTCCTGCCTCAGCTTTCCAGAGCGTTGAGGTGATGGATCCATGTCCCCAGACCTGGTTCTGAGGACTTTCTGTGTTTGTTGTTAGTCGACCCGTGAGACTGCAAATGTAGGGTCCTTTGTCAGGAGAAGGGAGGGGACACGTTGGGCAGGTCGGGCTGTGAGCGGGGCGTTTCTCCGTCTGCGTGGAGTGAGCGCCCAGCCTCAGCCTGGGCTTCGGGTAACCTTCTGTGCCTTCACAGTTACAGATGCTGGGCTATGACATCAGCTGGGCAGCCTTCAACATCATCGAGGTGATGAGCGCCTCCAAGTTCACGTTCAAGGCGAGTGGTGGGCTGGGGCAGGGCGGGCAGGAGCTGTCTGGGGGCGAGGCCCTTCCCACACACCTGCAGGTCCACCTGTGGCCGCCCTGCCCGGCAGCTGTGAGGCCAGTGGTGTGCTATCTCCCAGCTCCTGCGAGTTCTCCCGCAGCGCACTTGTGGCCTTTTCCGGGTGGTGAGCTCAGGTCCAGGAGGAGACAGGGTTTTTGCTATGCAGTTCAGGCTGGCCTTGAACTCACTTGGTAACCCAGGTTGGCCCCAACTCATAGCAATCTTCCTGCCTCGGCCTCCTGAGTGCTGGGATTACAGGTGTGCACCACCATTTCCAGCTTGTTTTAAAGAAATTCTCTGAGCTGGGGCTTGTTTAGTGGTGAGTGCTTGGCTAGCATGCATGAGCCCCTAACTTGTATTACCAACACTTTTGGGGAAAAACAAAAAGACAAACATGGTAGCACATAGCTGGTGTTCCAGTAATCTTGAAGGCTGAGGCAGGAGGATCTCAAATTCAAGGCCAGAGTTTTTCTCAAAATAAGAAGGGGCTGGGTATAACAGCTCAGTGCCAAGGCCCTCAGTTCAATCCCCAGTACAAAGGTAAACAAATCAATCCTTTTATATGTCAGTATTCATTCAAGAAAGCTTGAGTTATAAATAAAAGCAACGCCGGCATGACACAGGAACTTAGGAGCCTCCTGGCACGTGCACTGGCAATGCCTGTAATTTGGTCACCTAGGAGGCTGAGGCAGGGGAGTCACCCGGAGTGCATGGCCACTCTGAGCTGCATAGGGAGACCGTGTCTCAACCAAACCTAATACTGTCTCCAAATTAAAAAAAAATGTAAAAAGGGTGGGATGTAGGTTAGCAGAAAGGCCTGCGCTCCATCCCTCGCACCTCAAAACAAAACAACAAACAGAAAAAACCAAACGCTAGTGGACCGGAAGCACAAACCTGCTCATGAGCTCACGCTGTCCCGGGCTGTCCCCCGCTGCGCAGCTCAGCGGGTCTTGCCCGCTTACTTATCATGGTAGTTATCACTGTAGTCATGCTACTGTCGGTACTGGGGACTGGACCCCGGGCGCTTGCACTCAGCCACATCCCAGTTGCCTTTTTTGTGGTTTTGTGATCTCAGTTTTCCATTTTGAGACAGGGTCTCCTTATGTTGCTGCTGCTAAGAGGTCCAAACTAGGGTGAGACTTGCCACCCTCCTGCTTCAGCCTCTGGTAGGTAGGCTCAGAGGTGCAGACCACCACCCTCGGCACTGATGACCTTGTACAGAGGTCCCCTTGTTTCCTGCCCCTTTACCCCCTGCACATTTCTGCCTCAGCCTCCCAGCATGCCAGGATCACAGGCTTGCCTTACCCTGCCTGGCTAGTGGTCTCTTGGAAAGGTTTTATTTCCCTTGGTACCAGGGATCAAACTCACCACCACACGCTTGCCAGGCAAGCCTTGCGCCACTGCACTGCGCTGTACCCCTGGCCCCCAGCGGGCTGGAAGGTTAAAAGCAGCCTGTGCATTTGGGGGTGCAGACCCAGGTGTCCCCTGCAGCCTGGCCTAGGGAGCCCACCCGACGGATGCAGTGCCTCCCGGGCCACGCGCGCCCAGCCTTGAGGGCTCGTCCCCCCAAGGGTTTCGGGGACTGGCGAGGCTGGTGGCCTCTGGGGTGTCCGCTCTGACCCCGTCTGCTGTCGGCTCCACAGCGCATCGGCTACCTCGCTGCCTCCCAGTGCTTCCACGAGGGCACCGACGTCATCATGCTGACCACCAATCAGATCCGCAAGGTAGGCCCCGCCCACAGGCCTGGGTGGCGCTGCAGCCCGCGGGTCCCACCTACCGCTGCAGCTGTTCCCACGTGGCCGTGGCCTTAGTCGTGGCCGTGGTTTCACCTCTGTCTCAGAGGGTGTGAGGCCGAGCGCCCCCTTCTCTTGTGCTCGGGTGGTCCCTCTGCTGTCGACCCCTCCTCGAGGAGCTGCACCTGCCCTGCTGGGTCCTGCACCCTTCCCTGCCCCGGCACCCTCTGTTGTTGGACCTTGGGGTAACATGACATATTTTTTGCGTGTATGTAGGTTTTCTTTAAACTTCATTTTTCGTTGTACTGGGGATTGAACCCAGGATCCTGGGTTTTCAAACAGAGCTATGTTGTCAGTATTTTTTATTTTACTTTATTTTATTTTGTCTTTTTGAGGCAGGGTCTCCCTATGCAGTTCAGGCTGGCCTCGAGCTCACTGTGTAGCCCAGGCTGATTGTGAGCTTGCAACGATCCTCTTGCCTCAGCTTCCCGAGTGCTGGGATGACAGGCATGCGCCACCACGCCCGGCTCTGATTTTTCATTTTGAGTTAGTCACTGATTCTGTCCAGGCTGGACTGAAATTTGTTGTTTTCCTGGTTGGACCCTGAGGGCACTGGGTTACAGATGTGCACAGCCCGACCAGCTCAGGTCTGTCTGCCTTTGAGGTGGCCTTTGAGGCCGTACAGAGGCCCCAGCCCCTCGAGCATCTTTCCTGTGATGGCGTTGTCCTCGGTGTTGGGGTGTTGGTGGTTACCCCTCAGTGGGTGGCTGGCCCTTCTCCAGCCCCAGATTGTGTGCCAGAGGCCCCAGCCCTGGGAGCGGTCACCACCCCTGCAGGTGACCATGGCACGTGGGGAGTGGTGCTCGGCTCAGGAGGCCTGAACCCTGTGTGGCTGCAGGGCGAGGCCCCTGGCTGGGGGGTGGCTTCCTGAGAAGGAGGGTGAGTGGCGGGAAGGGAGGTGGGCTGTGGCCGTGTCTGGCAGCACCTCACTGGGGACCGGACACAGGCCTGTCCCTCTGTCCGAGGTGTGCAGAGGCACAGGTTGGCCCAGGGGATGGGGTGCCTCCTGCCTTCCTTCCCAGTGGAGCACATGAGACCCCAGCCCGTCAGGCATGCTGGGGCTGTCAGTTTTGCAGGTGCCCCCTGGGCTGGGCCCAGACCCGTTGTGTGTGCAGCCCTAGCCTGGCTTCTGATAAACATTCTCTCTGTCGTGGGAGGCCACCACAGATGCACATTTGTGGTCCCTGTGCCTGTGTGTACGAGCCGGGACTCGGGAGACCCAGCTCCCGGGTATGGGGGGGAGGGAAGCCGAGGCAGGGGAAGGGCTGTCCTGGGCTCATGCAGCCTGGTTAGTCTCGAGTGTCCTTGGGCCTGCCCTTGTAGAATGCCACGTCAGAGGCTTCAGGCTGGCCTTGAACTTGTTGTATAGCCCAGGCTGGCCTCTAATTCACAGCAGTCTCCTGCCTCAGCCTCCTGAGTGCTGGGACTGCAGACCTACGCCACTGTGCCTGGCACTGTGCCAGGCTCCTGAGACCTTTCAGCCCTGGGCTGATGGCAGAGGGAGCCCCACCCATGTCTCTTACCACGGAAGTGGCCCTCCTTGGCGCTTAGCTGAGTCCTCAGCTTTTCTTGTCTTACTTGAAGTCAGCCCACGCTGAGTTGCTGACTACAGCTCCAGCTTGTGCCATTCCTGCCCCTGAGTGCTGGCCTGAGAAGTGTACCCACGGGGCCGGGTGGGACTGGCACGGGTGGTGCAGCCCCGTGGCTACGGTCTGCGACTGGAGGCCCCTCCCCTCTGGTCCCTGGAGCAAGCCCATGGGGCTGCACTGCACCAAGCCTAGGGTCGGGAGTGGCCTGTAGCACCTGTGTTCAGGAGCAGATGCCAAGGAGGCTTCTCCTGGGCTCGGGCCTCACTCTCCCCCGCCACCGCTGTGGGAGGGACACATACCTGCCAGGGTAGGTGCAAGGGTCCTGTTACATGGGCAGGGCTCCTGCCCTCCTGGGCTGCAGGGGTTCCTTGCTCTGGTCGCCTCGTGGGCTGCAGGGCAATGCTGGGGCCCAGTAATCCTTACCCAGGCCTTCCCATGACCGCCGAGCCCCTGTCCCCTGGAGCCCACAGAGCTGGTGCTCCAGCCCGAGCTTTGCACTGGTGGCCCCCGTCCTGGCTCCTCTCCTGGTGGCACCGTGGAAACAGCGCTGATTTTCTCCCTCTTACCAAGCCCCAGGCCAGGCCCTGCAGCAGGGGCAGGGGATGGGGCACATCTGTTGCGGTGGACACCTGACCTGGGGCTTCCTGTCACCCTGACCTCTTCCCCACAGGACCTGAGCAGCCCCAGCCAGTACGACACAGGAGTGGCACTGACTGGTCTGTCCTGTTTTGTCACCCCAGATCTTGCCAGAGACCTGGCAAATGACATCATGACACTGGTGAGTTTATGAGCGCCCTGGCCGCCCCCGAGTGGGTTCCAGGCACTGCCCTGAGGAAGCTCAGAAGAGCTGGGGCCCCCGGTACTCTGGGCAGCCTATGTCCCTGCGCTGCCGAGGTGGCCCTTAAAGGCCTTCTGCTGGCAGAGAGAGGGGCACGTCCTCAGCCCATCAGGCCAGCGGAGTGTGTGTTCTTCTTCTGAAGCCATCCTCAGTGCCTGCCGGTTTTGTGGTGGCCCTGTACCCCCTCCCCCCATCCCTCAGGCCCCTGGGCTTGCGCTGTCCGTGGTCTGGCTTCTCGTGGCCGCTCTTCTCCAGAGGGGCCCACTGGTGCTCCCAGGCCCTGGGGTGGGCTGGATACTGCTTAGCCCATGGTGGCAGTGTGGCCTTGTCACAGTGGTAGGGTGGAGGGCAGGCAGCTGTGGGGAGCCTGGTAGGGACGCTGGGTGTCCCACATGTCACTGGGTGAAAGCAGGGTCTGCCTCCTTCCTGTCCCTCTTGGCTACAGTGCTGTCCTAGGGGAAGGAGTGAGGGTCCAGCAAGTGGGGGAGGGACGGCTGGGGCTGGGGGGAGGAGGTGACTGGGGGAGGGGCGTGGAGCCCGCGCACACCCCACCACTGTCCCGCAGATGTCGCACACCAAGCCTTACATCAGGAAGAAGGCCGTGCTCATCATGTACAAGGTGTTCCTCAAGTACCCCGAGTCACTGCGCCCCGCCTTCCCCCGCCTGAAGGAGAAACTAGAGGACCCTGACCCTGGTCAGTGGGTTGCAGGATGCCCCACCCATGCCCTGGGCAGGTGGGAGGACTTGTGGGGAGTAGGGTACTGGGCACCCACTGGACGTCCCTTGTGGAGTGCACAGTGACCACTGGCTGTGGCCTCCCCCATCTGAGTGGCTTTGGGCTCCTCCCTAGCCTGGGTGAACCTGAGGTCCAGTGTTGCCAGCCTTGAGGGACTCTGGGGAGTTGGGATGAGACCCTGGTGCCCTCCCACAGCACAGAGGACATGCACACACAGTGTGAGGACAGAGGTGTAGCTGTGACGAGGAGATGAAAGGGACAGGGGTCCAGACACAGATTCTGGGATGCCCACCACCCAGCACTGCACCCCCAGGTCAGAGAGCCTGGGGCTGGGCCAGGGGTGAGGGATGTGCAGATCTGAGCCTTGTCTGGATAGGGTCTTCCAAGCACCAGTCTCTGGGCTCCAGGGCACGGGCTCAGCGGTCATCTGGCTAGATCATCTGGCCTCGAGTGCACTGTACAGCCCGGCTGGCTCCACCTCCCAGGTACTGGACCACGGGCTGTAGTGCGAGTGGCATGAATGCCCCAGGTCCCCTGAGACTAGAGGGCTCAGCCTGCAGGTCTGCACGGGGCAGGAGGCGGTGGGTGGTCAGTGTCCTACGGGGGGACCCCCAGGAGCAGCTGCAGCCCCGACTGGGCCATGGAGGAGCAGGGGAGTGTGAGCTGGAACCTGGCTGCGTGACTGGTCCCTGCTGCTGAGAAAGTGTCACTGTGTTCCCTGGGGCTGGCAACCCAGGACTAGAGGGCCAGGGCTGTCCTGAGCGTGCACTTGTACCACTGCCATCGCAGGGGGCTGGCCTGCAGTGGCCTGGCCGGCACCAGGCTCCGGGTCCCCTCCAGCATGGTGGAAGCAGGCAGCCTGGTCCCATCATCACGCACTAGCACCCCAGTGCTACCTGCGGTCATGTCATGGCTTTGTGTTCTCATTGGGGTGCCACGGGAGGTCGCTGTGTCCTTACCTTCTGCTGCTGGCACTAGCCGCGGTCACTGTTTCCGGTGGCCCCACCAGGATACTCAGTGTCCAGTTGCTCTTCTGGCCTTGAGCACAGGTGGCCCTCCCTGTTCGGTCCACCCTTGTGGATTCAGCCTTGTATCCGAAACACTTGGAGAAACTGCATTGCTGCTGGCCGTGTGCAGACTTTTGCTGGTCCCCTCCTCCCTCCCTTGTTGAGACAAGGACTTGCTATGGTGCCCAGGCTGGCCTTGAACTTCAGCAGGCCTGCCTCAGCGCCCAGGTGCTGGGATGACAGGCTTGTGCCACTACACCCGGGTTCTCGTCGCTTCTTTGAACACCCAGTGTAAATGTACATGGCACCTCCAGTGTGTTTGGTGTCACAGGTCACTCAGAAATCTGCAGGCTGTGGGGGACCCACATGCACGCTATAGCCTTAGCCAAGGATCTCGGGCAGCCTTCGGGCCTGGGGCCTGGGGCCTGCAGTCCTGGAAGCCACTCCTGTGGGTGCGCGAGCGCGTTCTCAGGCCTCCGGGGCTCGTCCTGTGCCCGGGGTGCTTACCCACCCAGATGGCCCTGCTGATGTTCCCATCCTTGGTCCTCAGGGGTCCAGTCGGCGGCCGTCAATGTCATCTGCGAGCTGGCCCGGCGCAACCCCAAGAACTACCTGTCCCTGGCCCCGCTGTTCTTCAAGCTCATGACGTCCTCTACGAACAACTGGGTCCTTATCAAGATCATCAAACTGGCAAGTGCCGCCCTGGGCCGGGGGCTGCGCTCTGGGCCTGTCTGGTGGGCACCACTGCCGCGGGGGAGAGGCGTGGTCTTGCCTACGTGGCTGCTCCTGTCACCCACCATGATCAAGATCCTCTGTCCCTGCAGTTTGGAGCCCTGACCCCACTGGAGCCCAGGCTGGGCAAGAAGCTGATTGAGCCCCTCACCAACCTCATCCATAGGTAGGGTCTCCTGGGCAGCACCCGGGCTCTCAGGGGGGCCCCACAGGGTTGCCAGCTGGGGTACACCCAACGAAGCAGTGTGGACCCCTTTGATTTTGCTGCAGGCACCAAGCAGCTCTTCTGTGCAGTCCTTACCCCTCCGCGGCCCAGCACAGGGCTTATTTATCCGTGGAAACCCACTTTGTTTTCCCCATACTGGAGGCTGAGCCCAGGGCTTTTGCTCTGAGCTGTGCCTTTTTTTCCGTGTGCGTGTGCATGTGTACGTGTCTGTGTATATGTATTTTTTGGTACTGGGGATCAAACTCATAAACTCACACTCACCATGCAGGCACTTGAGCCACAGAGCTAAATCCCTGGCCTTCCCTTTTATATTTTGAGACAGGCTCTCACTAAGTTCCCCAGGCTGGGCTCTGACTTCTGATCCCCCTTCCTGAGCTTCCCGGAGTGCTGGGATGAGGGTCCACTGCCACACCCCAGTCCCCGGAATTCGCTTTTAAGGCAGCAGCTGCAGAGCCGGGCACGCAGCTCAGTGGAGCAGCACCTGTCTGGCAAATGCAAGGTCTTGAATTCAATTCCTAGTGCCAAAAAGACCCCCAGCACCCACAGGCTGCAGACGGTGGGCGTCGGTGTAAAGGCATTGGCTGCTTAGAGAAGGGGCCTGACGCCTGGCCAGGCCCGGCCCTCGCGGGTTTCACCGTCACTGCTCCCCACGAGCGCTCTCTGTGTGCGGTGTCACGTAGCCCCAGGGCCTTGCTCCTCTCAGGGTTTGGTGTTGAGATGATGGAGGTGGAGCTGCCCCCTGCTGCCCTCTTCCCCTCCCCTGTGTCCAGGACCCGCACCCACTCCCTTTCGTGGCTGCGGGCCTAGCTGTGCCCACGGTCCCCTGGGCAGATACAGGCCTGGGCTCTCTCTGCCCTCTTGCAGAGGTGAAGGCTCACAGGGTCTGGAGTCCTCGGGCCCCGGGGCAGCTTTGCTCCCGGAAGGGGGTGCTCTGTGCACACAGAGACTGCATGGGCCCTAGGGATGGGAGAGGTCAGGTAGGGGACAAGTGACAGAGCAGGAGTGCAGAAGGCACAGCAGGTGACTCAGAGGCAGAACCTGGGCTGACCCAGGTAGGCCCTGTCACACTGCCTTCCCGAGAAGGTGAGAGACAGTGACTGTCCCCCGTAGCCGAGCTCCGGGGGCAGCCGTGTCACTGTCGCAGGGCCTCACACCGCTTCCCTCCCCACAGCACATCTGCCATGTCCCTGCTCTACGAGTGCGTGAACACTGTGATCGCAGGTGAGGCCTGACTGTGACCATGACCGCCTGGGCAGGGGCTGCGGGACTGGGGAGGGCGCCAGGCCCCGCCTGTGGGGAGCTCTGCACCTTGTTCCCACCACCCCTTGATGAGGGTGTCCCCAGGGCTGTCATGGAGCTCACGGCGCAGCCCTGTCCTGGGCCTTTTGCAAAGGTGAGGGTCGCAGCCCCTCTGGGAACCCAGCTGCTCAGTACCCACCTTCCCAGTGGTCACATGGGACCCAATGAGCTGTGGTGCCATGAACGTCACCCAGCAGCTCACAGAGAGCCGGCGTCTGGGCTGTTTCTTTACCCTTTGGCTTTTGTTTTCATGTGTTTTGGTTTTTTGAGACAGGGCCAGGCTACTCAAACTGACCTTCAATTTGCCATCTTCCTGCCTGGGTCTCCTGAGTATTGGGATCCGAGGCGAGCACCACTGTGCAGCTGGGGCCTGGGGCTTTTGTGAGGGATGCATGGCCCCACCGCCCAGTGTACGCCAACATCCTGGACCCTGGAGGCCAGCAGGGTCTGAACCTGTTGGCCTCATAGTTTAGGCCCAGAGCCCTCCTGTCAGGCCAAGGTGCCCGGATACTGCTGGGCAGCCACCTTCAGAATGCACAGCTGAGGCCTGGGGCGGCTGTGGACAGAACAGGTCAAGGGCGGAGGCCCTGCCTCCCAAGTCCCCTGCCTGGGCGGGAGTGCAGGATGGTGGGCTGCTGGCCGCCTGGCGCCGAGGCCTGACTGGACCCTCTGTTTCAGTGCTCATCTCCCTGTCCTCCGGGATGCCCAACCACAGTGCCAGCATCCAGGTGGGTCCCGGTCGGCCTCGGCCCTGCTGTGGGGTACACATGGGGCCACTGAGGGAGTGGGTGCCCTGTGCAGGCTGCGGCCCTGATGCTCCTCTGTGTCCGCTGCCCTGGAATCAGCTCAGCAGCTGAGGCCTGGGGACACCCCGGTCTCGTCATTGAGGACAGCTGTCCCGTGTCCCTGTGCCTCTGACTTCAGGCATAGCCTCATCCTCTGGGTCTCTTGGCTCCCTAGTGACCCAAGGACAATGGGGCAGTCAGCTCCAGGCTTGGTCTTGTCACACAACAAATGTGAGCCTGCATCCCAGGCCTGCCTGGAGCACCACACAGCCTGTCTACCACAGGTGTCCCTGTCACCGCAGCGTCACTAACTCATCCCTCCTGCACAGTTCTGCCAAGCAGATCCACAGGAGCAGGCCGAGGCCACCCCCACCCTTGCCTGCAGCTCCGAGACCCTGGGCCCTAGCCAGGCCCAGCAGCAGCGGAGGTCACACACTGGCTCCTGGGTGTTGTAACCCAGTGGGTTTTCTATTTTCCAGCTCTGCGTTCAGAAATTAAGGATACTGATAGAAGACTCAGATCAGAACCGTGAGTTGTCCTGGTGACCCGGAACCCCTCGCTTCGCGCCTTCCATAGCTGTGCAGTCAGGAGGATGGGAGGGGAGCAGTGGGGTCCTGGCCTGGGTTTTCTTCGGGGCTTTGAGGGCAGAGGCCGTGCATCCTCCTATCTGAGGACACAGGCTACGTGGAGCTTAGGAGGACACTGCGGAGATGGGCAGAGCCACCTGAGATCCCGTAGGTCTCTTGTCCCTGTCAGGCAGGACGAGTGCACGGGGCAGTCCTAGGCAGCCCTCAGGGGCTGCGTCTTCTCTGGGCTGAGCCTGTACAGCCACTTTGAGTCCCTTTTGTGCTAGAGATGAGGTCACAGACTTTTGTCTTGGGGGCCAGGAAGTACCTGTTCCCTGCCTCAGGGGCCCAACGTCTTTGTAACAACCACTGGCCTCCTTGTGGGGGCCCCACAGGTGGGTGCATTAGTCCCCAGTATGGGACCTCATCAGAGGAGCCCAGGCTGTGGCTTGAGGCTCCTGATCCCTGCAGGATGCCTCCTGGTCTGCTCGATGCCTCAGGCTTAGCCACGTTGTCCTGAAGGTACCAGCCGAGGGCAGCTCAGGGTGGACACCGAGATGGTACAGGGCCTGCAGCAAGCACTGGCCAGGGGACACCCCCAGCCGCACCATGCTTCTTGAGGCCAGGCAGCGGCCAGTCATGGCTCTGGAACCTCCTTTGTGGCCCACGCCACCTGTGGCACTGGCATCCCGCTGTGTCCCAAGGCCCACAGCCTCTCGGTCTCCCTGCAGTAAAGTACCTGGGGCTCCTGGCCATGTCAAAGATCCTGCGGACACACCCCAAGTCTGTGCAGTCTCACAAGGACCTCATCCTGCAATGCCTGGACGACAAGGATGAGTCCATCCGCCTGCGAGCCCTCGACCTGCTCTACGGGATGGTGCGCCTGGCCCCGCTCCTCTCTCCTTAGGTCTCGGTCTCCCGAGTCCCCACCTGGGTGGGTGGTCAGCAAGGGGTCACCTGCCCCAGGCCAGGCATGGCCCTCGGGGGCCAATCCCTTGTGGCTGAGTGGCTCATGCATCCTCAATCCCTCGGTGCCAGCCCCCACCCCACTGTGCCCCCAGGTGTCCAAGAAGAACCTGATGGAGATCGTCAAGAGGCTGATGACACACGTGGACAAGGCCGAGGGCACCACCTACCGTGATGAGCTGCTCACCAAGATCATCGACATCTGCAGCCAGTCCAACTACCAGCACATCACCAACTTCGAGTGGTCCGTGCCCACGCGCCGCGCTGCTCCCCGGGGCGGGCGGCGTCCCCGCGCCCCTCACAGGCCCCTCTGCTTGCAGGTACATCAGCATTCTGGTGGAGCTGACCAGGCTGGAGGGCACCCGCCACGGTCACCTCATTGCCGCACAGATGCTGGATGTGGCCATCCGCGTGAAGGCAATCCGCAAGTTCGCCGTGTCCCAGATGTCAGCGCTGCTTGACAGCGCCCACCTGGTGACCAGCAGCACCCAGCGCAACGGCATCTGCGAGGTGCTCTACGCCGCCGCCTGGATCTGTGGGGAGTTCTCAGAGTGAGTGGGCTCAGGGTCCCAGGAAGGGACGTGATGTCTGTCTGTCTGTCTTGTCTGTCTGTCTGCACCTTGCCCAGGGTTTGACCAAGCAGGCAGCACGGAGTCCCTGTCCCCTTCTGACCCTGCCACCTCTGGCCACTACCCGGCTGGTTCTCACTGCCGTGTCTGCCAGGACAGGACCTGGTAAATACAGAGTGGACGCTTCAGCTCTAGAGCCCGCAGGCGTGCTCCTGCCATTGCTTTTTTTTTTTTGGTCTTTTTCCTTTTTATCGGTACCGGGGATCAAACTCACAACTGCCTGCTTGCAAGGCAGGTGCTTATGCCGCTGAGCTAAATCCCCAGCCCCAGTCCTGCCATTTCCTAAGGGAAAGTTTAAAGAGAAACAGTTTCGCCAGGCGTGATAGCACAGGCCTGTAATTGAAGTTGGTGATGTGCTGGTAGTTGGACTGGCTGCAGATGTCGATGATCTTGGTGAGCAGCTCGTCACAGTAGGTGGTGCCCTCGGCCTTGTCCACGTGCGTCATCAGCCTCTTGACAATCTCCATCAGGGCACCCTGAGAGCCTGAGATAGGAAAGGGATTGCAAGTTCAAAATCGACCTGGGCTACACAGTGAACTCAAGGCCAGCCTGAGCTGCACAGCAAGACCCTGTCTCAAAAGAAAAAAGTAGGGGCTGGGGATTTTGCTCAGCGGCATAAGCACCTACCTTGCAAGCAGGTGTCAAGAGTTCGATCCCTGATACCAACAGAAAAAAAAAAAAAAAGAAAAAAGAGAAAAGTAAAGTTTGTGGTTACAAAGGAACAAAAACCAAAAGTCAGCAAGCTAGGCCACATAAAATTTGTTGCCTATAGTCAGTGGGCATTTCCTGTTGGCTTTTTGTTTTGTTTTTTTAAGACAGGGTCTTGCTGTATAGTTCAGGCTGGCCTTGAGCTCTGTGTAAGCTGACCTGGAACTTGCAGTGATCCCCCTGCCTCAGCCTCCCCAGTGCTGGGATGACAGGTGTGCGGCACCCCGTCTGGCCCCCGAGTCCGGTCCTCGGCTCCTGCCCTTGCCTACCCAGCAGGCTCAGCTCAGCATGCTTTGCCTGCTCCTCAGTCTTGTCTGCTCTGTAGGTCATTTGTTCTTCCCAGCTCTCCCAAGTGCTGTCCGGCCCCTGCATCTGCGCAGGGAACGGAACTTTCAGGGTGGCACTTCAGTGGGGACCCCAGATTCCTGTCCCAGCGCTCTACTGGGGAGGTCTCACTGTGGCCCCTGTCCTCCAGGCACCTGCAGGAGCCCCACCAGACCCTGGAGGCCATGCTTCGGCCCAAGGTGACCACGCTGCCTGGCCACATCCAGGCGGTGTATGTGCAGAACGTGGTGAAGCTGTACGCGTCCATCCTGCAGCGGCAGGAGCAGGCCGGGGAGGCCGAGGCAGCACAGGAGGTGACGCAGCTCCTGGTGGAGCGGCTGCCGCAGTTCGTGCAGAGCGCCGACCTGGAGGTGCAGGAGCGGGTGAGTGCTGTCCGCAGCTCTTGCTTGGCCCGTTGTCCTGCTGCGCACTGTGTCGTGGCTCTGCCCCTCTGGGCTGCAGGTGTCTTAGTGGGGTCTGGGGTGCATTGGCCTGGACGGCAGCCTCACTCCCCACCTGGGGCTTGTGGGGGTGGGACGGGCCCTGTTCCTTGTCCCGGGAGAGCTGGGCTATGAGACAGCAGGCAGGTGACAGCCTGTGAGGCAGGCTGCTGGCCCTGTCCTATCTGGGGAAGAGGGCAGATGTGGCACTTGCCTATGTGACAGCAAGGAGACCCAGCCCATCGTGCTCACCTGCAGCTTGTGGTCACTGCATTCTGAGGCCATGGCACGATCTAGCTGGGTCCTGTCCCATCCTGAGTGAGCCCTGCACAGTGGCTGAGTAGCCAGAGCCAGCAGGCGGCAGCATGGACACCATGGCTTGGTTGGGGTGTTTTCACCCGAGTGAGTGTTCTCGCCACAGCCCTTCTGTGTAAAGACAGCAGTCTGCGTCACGGTACACACCTGTCAGCCCAGCACTTTTTGGGAGGCTGAGGCAGGAGTTCAAGCTGAGCCAGGGCAACTTAGCAAGACCCAGTCTCAAAATAAGAGGTCAGGCTCTGTTCTGTTATGTCACACTTGGTTTTACTCTCTTCAAAAAAAAGTAGTAAGAACCGTGGGAGTAATAAAACCCAACATGTGTAATTGTCATTGTGCAAAAGAAAGGAAAAGAAAGTGCTCTAAAGAATATAACTGCATGTATATTTAAGTGTATAAGATAGATAACCATATTACTGAGGTTTGTTGGATCATTGAGCAAAACTTTTTCCAGTCTCACTGTTTTTTTTATTATACATTTTTTTTCACCTTTTTTTTTTTTTTTTTTTTTTTTGTCTTTTTTCCTTTTTATCGGTACCGGGGATCGAACTCATGACTGCCTGGTTACAAGGCAGACGCTAAGCCACTGAGCTAAATCCCCAGCCCCCCAGTCTCACTGTTTGAAATTCCACTTTATATGCTTTAATTTTGTAACTTGAACAACTTATTTCTAAGATAACAATATGTAATCTATTAACTAGTGATTTCTTACTGTTTATTTTTTCTGAAATTCTGTATAACTTGTACCCTTTTTCTGTTTTTTTTTTTTTCTCCTTAAATTAAAAAAAAAAAAATCTCCCCCCCAAAAAACAAGAGGTCAGGGTATAGCTCAGCAGAAAGGCCTTGGGGTCGACCCCCAGAACACAAAGGGAAGCAAAAGAAAAAGCGCGCCGGAGGTCGGCTGAGTCTCTGTGGGCCTCGCCGTCCCTGGGGCCCCGGCCAGCCCAGTGACCCCCATCTCCCCACAGGCGTCCTGCATCTTGCAGCTGGTCAAGCATGTGCAGAAGCTGCAGGCCAAGGGCGTGCCCGTGGCAGAGGAAGTGAGCGCTCTCTTTGCCGGGGAGCTGAACCCAGTGGCCCCCAAAGCCCAGAAGAAAGTCCCTGTCCCTGAAGGGTGAGGACCGAGTGAGCTAGAGCGGGGGCAGGCGGCTGCCGCTTGCCACACACACCCTTGTGCCGGGGGTGGCAGTGGGATGGAGGGACTGGCCGGGCCAGGGCTGCAGGGTGAGTGCCTGACCCCATGCTCGCTGGGCCCTGGGACTGGGCTCTCTGTGGCCCTCTTGTGACCTCACAGGCTACTAGCTCGGTCTGCTCTGAGAGGCAATAATGTCCCTGCCTTGCGTTGCCACATGGCTGGTGGATACTGGTGTCCAGGACGTCAGCCATCCAGGCACATGGTGGCCACCACTTAGGGCAGAAACTTCCAGAAACGCCTGTGCAGCAGTGCTCTGTTGCCAAGTGGCTCTGTGACTGCCCGTGACCTCCCTGTGTGGCACAGGCTAGACCTCGATGCATGGATCAATGAGCCGCCCTCGGATAGCGAGTCCGAGGATGAGAAGCCCAAGGCCATCTTCCACGATGAGGAGCAGCGACAGGCGCGGCACCGCCACCCTGAGGTGGACGAGGAGGAGCTGGCCCGGGTGAGTGGCTGCTGTAGCTTCGCCGCCTCCCAGGGCCCACACTGGGGCTGTGCTGTCGGGTTTGTGTCCTGCTGTCCTCCCAGGAGTCATTGCCACATGGGCAGCCTGGCACCCAGCCCCCTCCGTACCCTGCTGCTGTGGCCCCATGCCAACACATGCGGAGCTGTCACAGGTTCACGTGGTTCTTGTCCCCAACAGCGACGAGAGGCCCGGAAGCAGGAACAAGCCAACAACCCCTTCTACATCAAGAGCTCCCCGTCCCCGCAGAAGGTGAGCTGCCCCATGTGCTGGGGACAGTACCGCAAGCCACCCCAACCCGGGCCACCTGTCAGGTCTTGACAGTGCCCGCTGTCCTCAGGGGATGCTGCCTGGCCAGCCTGTGTCCCGGGTGGGCACTGCAGGCCATGCCAGGCCCTCCCTGCTCCGTCCCAGGTCAGGCCTGGGTCACCGCCCCACCTTAAAAAGCAGGGTTCAGGTGCTGAGGCTGGTGAGCGCTTTGCTCCTCGCTGCCACACCTGGCACTCCAGTATGTCACCCCAGCTCGAGGGTCCATGTCCTTGAGGAAGGGCACAGAGGAGGGTGAGCCGTGCCCACACCCCGGTGATGCCATGTTGCCCTCACAGCGGTACCAGGATGCGCCAGGCGTGGAGCATATCCCCGTGGTGCAGATCGACCTCTCCGTGCCCCTGAAGGTCCCAGGCAAGTGTCCCCTGGTTCCCAGTTCCTCCCGGGTCCTGGGAGCGTCCCCATCCCCAGGTGACCTGTAGCCCCTGCCCCCACAGGCATGCCCATGTCCGAGCAGTACGTGAAGCTGGAGGAGGAGCGCAGGCACCAGCAGCGGCTGGAGAAGGGCAGGAAGCAGCGCAGGAGGAAGGGGAAGGAGACCGAGAAGGAGAAGCGGGGCGGTAGGGCCCGGCGCCATGGCTCGCTGCCCACCGAGAGCGACGAGGACATTGCCCCTGCCCAGCAGGTGGACATCATCACCGAGGAGATGCCCGAGGTCAGTCCCGGCCAGATGTGGCCACGTCGCCCTCATGTCACATCTAGGGGGACCCGGGAGCTGTGTATTGCCCGCCCTTGGGGACACGGAGCTGACCACTCCAGGCAGCCATGCCTGGGACAGGAGATGGGAAGGGGACGCTGCCAGGACCCTCAGCACTGCTAACTGGATGCTGGTTTGTGCCTGTCCTCTCAGAATGCTCTTCCCAGTGATGAAGATGACAAAGACCCCAACGACCCATACAGGGCCCTGGACATCGACCTAGACAAGTACGCAAGGGCTGGGTGGTCCTGCTGTTGCCCGCAGTGGCCCCGACAGGCTGTGCTCTGGGCCAGGGGCTGAGCTCAGGGACACTGTGCAGGGTGGTGACCGTCCACGCTGGGATGCTGGCAAGGACTGAGGCCCCCATTCCCAGATCAGGAAAGTCCCCAGGCCTTGGGTGACAAAAGAGGGCAGAGGCCGAGGTCAGCTTGGCCAAGCGGGGGAACTTTGCCAGGGTCCTCCCGTGGCTGCTCATGTCCACCCAGTGACCCGGCCCTTTCCGGTCCCAAGGCCTCTGGCAGATAGCGAGAAGCTGCCCATCCAGAAACACAGAAACACCGAGACCTCCAAGTCCCCTGAAAAAGAAGACATCCCCGCCGTAGAAAAGAAGAGCAAGAAACCCAAGAAGAAAGAAAAAAAGCACAAAGAGAAAGAGAGAGAGAAAGAGAGGAAGAAGGAGAAGGAGAAGAAGGTACACGGGGCCGGGCTGGGCAGCCCGCAGGTCCCAGGCGTTCCCTAAGCGTCCCGGCTGCTTGTGTCTGCAGGCCCTGGGGTTTCAGGAGCCACAACGGGGCCACGTGTCTCCCCATGGTGCTGTCCGCACATTGGCGTCCCCAGTCAGTGACCCGTGTCCTCGGGGGCCCATGTGTAGGCTGTCACAGACATTCTGGCCTCCATGTGTAGGCTGTCACACATGCGGGGCAGAGCAGCCAGCCGGGGTCCAGGGCTAGCCAGGGACAAGCGGGGCAGCGCTGTGAGGCCAGAGCTCTACGGTGCCGCCCTTCCCTTCAGGGCTGTCCTCCTCCTGTGGTTTTAGGCCGAGGACCTGGATTTCTGGCTGTCTACCACCCCGCCGCTTGTCACTGCCCCTGCACCCGCCCCGTCCACGGTAAGAGCTGGTGGACATTTCAACTGGCTGCCGGGCGCAGGGCTGGACGCTGGGCGGGTGCTGCCTTGTGGGTCCCAGGTACAGGCCCAGAGGGCTCCCCCACTCCTGGCCTCCTGACACTGCGTGGGACCCAGAAGTCCCCCGAGGCCCAGCGAGGCAGGAGGGGCAGCCAGCCGGGCCACCGTGCCCAGCTAGCTCCTGTGGGCCTGCTGGGGTGGTGTTCAAGGCCCCCTTTCTTCCATCGAGCCGTGAGCCCCGACCCTCTCGGCTCCCCGCAGGAAGAGCTCGGTGTGAATGCAGCCGCCGCCCCTGAGGACACTTGCGAGGGACCAAAGGCAGAGGAGGCAGAGGACGGGGACACTGGCGCTGAGCCGGACCTGGGGAGGGTGAGGAGCCAGGCTGGGCAAGGGGCAGGGGGCGGGCAGGCCGGGCGTGTGGCAGTGACCCCAATGTCTACATCCTGGGGACCAGCAGCCACCATGCATCAGGCGCAGCCAGGGCTCTTCCCAGGGCTGTGTGCCACTGTTATTTGCATGTTTATTTTTTCAGTAACGGGTTTATATATTTACTGTTTTGGGAGGTTTGTTTGTTTTGTTTTTGGTGGCACCAGTGGTGAACTAGGCCTCTGCATGCTAGGCTCACGTGTGCTGTGTGTGGTGCAGGCTGGCCTTGAACTGACGCCTCAGACTCCCCATGCCGGGATCATAGGTGCACACCCCACACCCAGCAGACTCCAGTCTTTTAACACCTGTGGTTGGGTGGGCCAGGCGTGGTGATACACCTGGGACCCAGCACTTGGGAGGCTGAGGCAGGAGGGTCGGCCACGAGTTTGAGGCCAGGCTGGGCTCCATGGTGAGTTAAAGGGCAGCCTGGACGACATAGCAAGACCGTGTTTCAAAGCAAACAAAAAAAAAAAGTGTTCAGTTTGGTGAGGCAGGATAAACAAGTTTGCCTAGCGTGTCAAAAAAAAAAAAAAACGCCACCAGGAAACTTAGGGTTAGAGCTGTGGCTCCGAGGAATTTGGTATAGTGGCCGTACAGCAGCACTTACTGTGTCAGCAGCGTGGGAACCATCGTCTCCATCTCATCCTCATTCCAAAACACGCTGCTAACCCCAAAGGAAGCCCTGTGAAGCCCTGTCCGTACCCCTGAGCAGTCTCCCGTCCCCTCCCAGCCCTGGCACCTGAGTCCACTTTCTGTCCCTGGAGTCACTCATCCCTGCCGCAGCCCTATCCCATGACACGAGGGAGAGAGTGAACATGGGGTGCTGCTCCCCGAGGAGGAGTCTGGGGCTTGAGTGCACCCCTGTGTCCTGGTGCAGAAATCCTCCAGGCACAAGAAGAAGCACAAGAAGGAGAAGGAGGAGAGGACCAAAGACAAGAAGAGGGGCAGGAAGAAGCAGCCGGTGCCCGAGGAGGCCGTGGTGGGGCCGGTGGAGAACGGCGCGGAGGAGGAGGAGGAGGAGCCCGTCCCGGTGAGCGCCTGCCGGCCCAGCCTGCAGAGGCTGCCGCCTCAGCCCTGCGCTCCGCAGCGCTGGCAGGGCCTTGGCACCATGCTGACACCTTTCTCCCTCCACAGCCCATGTCCAGCTACTGCCTGCTCGCTGAGAATTCCTACATCAAAATGGTGAGTGACACCGCTCTGCAGCGGCCTCGAGGGACACAGCCACTGCACAGGTCCTGGTGTCCGTGATGGCAGTTCTGGGCGCTGTCACCCTGGCCCCACCCTGGGCTGCTCCCTCCTTCCTGCCGCCAGCACAGCAGGTCCCTGTTGCAGCCGGGTCCCTGGCAGTGAGTCTCCACCCCGCCCTGTTAACCCCACGCCTCGCACACACAGACGTACGACGTCCAAGCCAGCCTGCAGAAGGACAGCCAGGTCACCGTGTCCGTCATCCTGGAGAACCAGAGCAGCAGCTTCCTTAAGAACATGGAGCTCAATGTGCTGGACTCGCTCAACGCCAAGATGGCCCGGCCGGAGGGCTCCTCCGTGCACGACGGCGTCCCCGTGCCTTTCCAGCTGCCCCCCGGTGAGCTCCCTCATCCCTCTGTCCTGGGGCGACTAGGACATACACCTTGGGTCCCCTTGCTGCTCTCATGGAGGCGTGGCTTATCTGGAATAGCCTTACCCAGTGGACAGGGTCTGGACTAGGTCCAGGCCGACCTGGGGACACCAGGACCCCTGTGGCCCTGCCCAAGCCCCTGGCACCACCTGGGCCTGGCCCGCTGCGTCTCAGGCCGCCCCTTGCCCGCCCCCAGGCGTCTCCAACGAAGCGAAGTTTGTGTTCACCATCCAGAGCATCGTCATGGCCCAGAAGCTCAAGGGCACCCTGTCCTTCATCGCCAAGGTACCTGTCCTGTCACTCCCCGGGATGGGCGCCACGGCCCAGGGTCCGTGCACTCACCGCGAGCCTCTCCCCGCAGGACGCCGACGGGGCCACGCACGAGAAGCTGGACTTCCGGCTGCACTTCAGCTGCAGCTCCTACCTGGTCACCACGCCCTGCTACAGGTGCGGAGGGCATCGCAGCCAGCCGGCGCCCTCCCGGCCCAGCCCTGGAGGTGCAGTCCGGGACTCATGTCCAGGGGACCCCAGGCCTTTGGCTTGCGGGGGCTGGCTTCTTCCTGGGCCTCAGCGCCCCAGGTTTTTCTAGTACAAGGGAGTGGACCTGGGGCGCTGCCCAAGCTGCCTTCCAGCCCTTTTTATTTCGTTTGAAGCAGAGTCTCGCCAATCACTGTAGGTGCCCTTGCTGGGCTCAGCACTTTCAGTCCTCCTGCCTCACCCCCCCAATTGCTGGGATAGCGGGTGTGTGACAAGCGCCCGGCCCCTCGGTGACCTCAGCAGAGGCCCTGACCCCAAATGCAGTTCCGTTCCGAGGCCTGGGGTGGCGGCTTGGCGCAGGGATTTTCTCAAAGATGACAGTTTAGTCCCCACCTGTCAAGTCTCTCAGGCCCTCCGGGCCGCCGCCCCGCCCCGCCCCGCCCCGCCGGGTGCCCCGTCTCGCCCCTTCAGTCTCTGTCCTTCCCGCAGCGATGCCTTTGCCAAGCTGCTGGAGTCCGGAGACCTGAGCATGAGCTCCGTCAGAGTGGACGGGATCAGTATGTCCTTTCAGAACCTGCTGGCCAAGATCTCCTTCCACCACCACTTCTCCGGTAAGCACAGTGGTGCAGTGCCGCCCTGGGCACCTCGGCGGCCTGCCCCCGGGCCCTGCCTGGCTCAGTGTTGGTCCCTTGCAGTGGTGGAGCGAGTGGACTCCTGCGCCTCCATGTATAGCCGCTCGGTCCAGGGCCACCACGTCTGCCTGCTGGTGAAGAAGGTGAGGCCCCGTGTCCGCGCCGAGGGAGAGCGCGCGGTGCCCCGCTCCGCTCACTGTCGCCTCTCAGGTCACTCGGGTCACCTCTCGGGTCACCAGGCGGTAGTGCCCCGAACGTGTCTCAAAATGGCCCCAGAGCGGGCTGGGACCGGCTCAGCCTCCCCTCCCAGGGCAGCAGCAAGGGCTGAGCGCGCAGGTGGGTGGGGCTGGGGACGCAGGGACCTCGCGTGGCGGGAGGCAGGGCGGCCATGTCCCGCTTCCCCACCAGGGCGAGCGCTCGGTGTCCGTGGATGGGAAGTGCAGCGATGCAACGCTGCTGGGCAACCTGCTGGAGGAGATGAAGGCAACACTGGCCCAGTGCTGAGGCCCCGAGCCCTCAGAGGACGCCCGGGATGGATGTGGACGCGCGGGTGGACACTGCGGCCTCTCCTCCTGTCGTGTGTACTGTCCCACGCCACAGCATTAATCCAGCTCCACCGTCCTGTGCAGACACCCGAGGTCCGTGTTGCTCCGACGTAGGTTGGTTGTCCGGCATCTTCCGGAGGCCCCAGCTGGCATGCAGCAGGGGACCCCCAGGGAGCAGTGGAACCCCGGGCCGGGACCTGGTGGGCGCCAGGGTGCTCGGCAGACAGGGCAGGGCTCGTGGAGCCCCTGCCGGCTGCTTTCGCCCCAGCTGTCCTGACCGGTGGCATCTGCGGGAAGGTGACTGAGCTGCTGTCCCCAGGCTTGTGATGGCATTACCCTACACACCTAGAGGCTGGGGGCCAAGACCAGGGCCCCAGCCACAGGCGTAGCCACGCACAGGGTCGCTGATGAGGGTGCAGGAACTGTGGTTCACCCTCCCGCTGGGCAGCGGTCAGCTGGCGTGGGCTGGCAGGGTGTGACGGCCACACTGTACGGCTCCTACCCCTGGCTCATCCCCAGTACACCCAGCCTTGTCCCTGTGGCGTCCCTGTGGGGCTGGGCATGCCACAGAGGGGACACAGCCACCTGTGTCCCCAGCAGACCCCAAAATACCGTCTCCAGCACAGCAGCTGCTGACGGGGTGATGCCCTCTCCAGTCACTCCAGCCCTCCCTCAGAGATGATGCTGTCCACAGCGTCCTCCCTGTTCCTTTGGATGACAGTTGTCACTTTAGCATGTAGAGTAATCTATGCAGAATCCCGTGCCGTGATTCTAGAACTCGGAGAGTGTACAATGTGCTCCCCAACGATGATTTGCTCTCGACATCCCCATATACAGGAGAGAGACGCATCACGCTGCTGTAATGATTTTTGTGTCAAGATGATCCAATAAAGTTGCAAAACACACGTTTCGAGTGTCGTGCCCCTGCCTGTCCCTGTCTCTGTGCGTGCCCTCAGCCAGGGTCAGCACCCAGTGTCCCAAGGTGCTGAGACACTGTGGCTCATGGTTCCTTGGGAGGTGACTGAGGTCCTCACACCGTCCAGCTCCTGCCCCACCCTGGGGGCGCTGTCTCCTGCACTGCCTCTCCCGGAGAGCCCTTGGCTCCGCCTGTGAGGGGGCGGGGTGCAAAGGGCCATGGGAGAGCAACTGACCAGGACGGTTGAACCAAGTCTGCTTGGTTACCCCAAGACAGGCCCACAAGCTGGGCATAATGATCCATGTACTCAGGACGCCAAGACTGGAGGGTCAGAGTTCAAGGCCAGTCTGGACCATGTAGTGACATTTTGTCTCAAAAGAAACAAAATAGGGTGGGGAATTTAGCTAAGCAGTGTAAGAGCCTGCCTTGCAAGCATGAGGTCGTGAGTTCAATCCCTGGTACCAAAAAAACACCCAGAAGACAGGCCCAGGAACCAGGAGCCAGCCAGACTCAGGTGGCCCACCACATGCCACCACCCCTTCTGGAAAAACGACATTGGCTGAAAACCACCCAGGGCCTCTCCGTCCATGCTGGACCCTCAGAGCTCAGCTCTGGTTGTTAGCAGCGTGGTGTGGTGGGGTCAGCAGTCCAGCTTAGCCGGGGCCCTGAGGGCAGAGCAGGGCCTGGCCGGCCCAGCATGTGAGCTGTTGGCTGCAGGCTGTGTGGCAGGCAGGGTGGCCCTGGAAGCTGCTGCTTGCTGGTCCTCAGTGCCTCCCAGGAATGCCAAGGGCAGGAGAGGCCTGGCAGAGTCCCCCCGGGATGGGCACCGAAGCACTGCCAGGAAACCACCCAGCTCAGGTCACACAATCCAGACCAGGCGGGGCACTGAGTGAGGCCTGTCTCCAAGAAGGACCGGGGCGTGGCTCAGTGTGACCCCTCGCCCGACGCCCACAAGGATGGTCTGTCGGTGAGAAATGCCAGGCACTTTAATCATCACAAAGGACCTAGTGGCCCTGCCTGTACGCAAAGCTGGCCCCAGCCCCACCCCTGCTGCAGCCCAGCCCAGGGGCTCTGTGGCCGGAGGGAACCCAGGGCAGAGGGACAAGCTGGTCCAGGCCAGCTGAGTCCTGGTCCCCACGGCTGCAGCGCTGTCAGTAAAGGGTCAGACACTCCGAGGCGTTCTCCAAGGTCAGGTTCGCCAGGCGCTGGGGCTCCAGACACGAGATGCTCGGTGCTATCAGGCTGGGGGGGACACAGCACCCTCAGGTGTGCCTCCCCTCCCCAGCTGGTCACCCCGAGGGCCCCTCGGCCTCCTCCCCGCTGGGGTGTGTGTCCTGTGCACAGCTGGATTTGCGCACTCCAACCCGGGGCCGCCTGCTTGTGTGTGACTTCCCGCTCTGGTCACTCACAAGGCTGGGGTGGTTCTGCGTGTCCCAGCGGAGGAGATGCAGGAGGAAGAGGGTGCGGTTTGCTCACGAGATGACCACTCCAATGTCACTCGGGTGTTGCAGAAGGGGTGGCCAGCAGTCCCAGGTCCACAGTGCCCGCCCGGCCCAACGCCTCCAGCCTTCTGTCCCCATTGGCCTAGAGGACCCCGTAGCACCCTTCCCAAACCCCCACAGTCCCCCTGTTCTCTGGAAGTCCTGGCCTCACCTCATCCTGGTGTCCTGTCTGAAAGACACGTGGGGTTCAGGTCAGAGCCCTGGCTCTGGGGCCCGGGCTGTGTCCCTGGCCCTCATGCTTTTCCTCTGGGGTGTTGACCACAGCTCCCCCAGCAACTCAGGAAAAACTAGACACATGCTTTTTTTTCTTTTTAAAGGCAGATTGTCACTAAGTTGCTGAGTTGCTCAGACTGGGCTTGCCAGTGTGAGTCTCCTGCCTCAGCCTCCCAGAGGGCTGCAATGACAGACATGTGCCACTGCAGCCTGCTAGGGTAGAGCAAACCCTGGGACACTCTAGCCAGCCGATCTGCCCCCGTCAGCTGGGCTCAGAGTCGCTGAAGGGAAGGGACCAGGGCTGTCTCCGTACGGGGGGAGGGGGAGAACAGGAGGAGCTCCTGCCTCCCCGCTGCCCCCACCCCTACAGCCCCCGAGGTACTCACAGGCGCGTGCACACTGCCCCCGACAGAACGGGTTGGACTGGAGGGTAGGGGACTTACTTGTGCCAGTTAGATCTGCAACGGCAGCAGGCTTGGGGTCATGACAGGCCTCAGTCAGTGTCCCCTCTGTGGCTGCCCAGAGACCCCAACTCACATGTAAAGTAGAAGGCCCCGCACAGCGCGCTCCCACTGAGCCGAGGACCTGCCAGGACGGGGTTTGGAGGCGGTGAGGCCCTCTGCTCCGGGCCCCACCCACCCTGCCCAGCACTGAGCCCAGAGGCGCTGGTGCCTGAGCCCTACTCGCAGTTGTAGCCAAAGCAGACAACGTGTGAATCAGAACAGTTGTGACAGGAGATGGTCTGGTACTGGTAGATGCCTGCAACACATCAGGGGCAGCAGCAGGCTCCTCTGGACCTCCTGGCCAGGCCACCACTGCCTGCTCTGCCCCTCAGCCTGGACCAGGTCTCACTCACCACAGTGACGCTGACAGTCGATGTGGCCTGTGGGGGCACACAGGAGAAGGATTTTTGGTTTATTTCTGCACAGTGCAGGTGGAACCTAGGACCTCTGCCCTCAGCTATATCCCCAAGATACAGTTTTTACTTTGAGTCAAGAAACTGCTGAGAGCCGGGCATGGTGGTGCATGCCTGTAATCCCAGCACCCGGGAGGCTGAGGCAGTTGAGCCCAAGGCCAGCCTGTACTGCACAGAGAAACTATCTCAAAAAGAAAAAAAAAAAAAAAAAAAAAGTTGCTAAGTCACTAATTTGCCCGGGCTGGGCTCAAAAAGTGATCCTCCTGCCTCAGCCTCCCACAATGTTGAAATGACAGGCGTCCACCATCCCCAGCTAAGGATGGTGCCTTTTTACCAAACCCAGACTAACCTCTGGCTTTGCCCAGAGGCTCAGGACCTGTCCTCAGCTTCATGGGACATGGGCACAGTTGGGTTTCACGATCGAGAAGGAAAGGGACCCCAAAGGGGCCTCCAGGGTGGAGGAGGAGGATTGTAACACCCCCAGGTCTTCAGAGATTAATTTGGCGGGTACCAAGGAAGGTGCTAGCAGCTGTCCTTTCAGGACGCTATTCCCTTCCCCCTCTGCCCGGGGGTGGCTGCTGGCTCTGAGTCCCGGTGGCTGTGAGCCCCGGCCCGGTCCCCAGCACCGCCCTGCCCTGGGGTTCCTGACACCCTCCTCTGGCGCTGGACAGCACCCTCCGCCCCAGCTCACTTTTAATGACGGCGTTCTGGATGAGGTGCACCTGCTCGCGGAAGATGGCTCGCAGTTCATTGGGGAAATACCCTGATGCCAGGGGCAGAAGAGAGGTCAGAGAGGTCAGGCTCGGGCGACATGGGTGGGAGCTAGGTAGGAGGTCCCTGGCTCGGCCTCACGCGCCTTACCAGGGAAGTACATCTTCCCCTGATACAGCTGATCCATCTTTCGGAACACGGTCCTCGCCACCTGCTCCAGATTCTCCCGGGCTGCGGGTGGGAGGAGAGAGGCCGGTGAGCCGCTCTGCCGCGCCCGGGGATCCCGCTGGACCCCGAGGCTTCCCCACTTTGGGCTCCACGCTCACTGATCTCCGCCGGGACGGCCAAGTGTAGCTCCCTCATCGTGTCCTGGCGCCAGTCGGTGAGCAGAGCTCCCGACACGGGGATGTCACCCACCCACCAAGACTTGAGGTTCACGTGATGGCGGTAGAAGGAGAACTTCTCCGAGAAGTTATTATGGCAATGAAGGCAGCCGCGGGCCAGCGCAGCAGTCATTCCCAAGCACAGTAGTAGGGCCATGGCCCGCCCCCGCGTGCTGTCGGCCAACCAACGGTGACCGCCCGCGCCACGCCCCTCCAGCGCGCACCAACCAACGGCGTCCGCTCGGGCCCAGGGCCGCGCCCCTGTCATGCCCGCCAAACCTAGCGGGATAGCGGTCTCAACGGGCAACTGACAACGCCGCTTCAGTTCTCAGGTCCCGCCCACGAGATGGCTCCACCCCTATTTTGGCGCCACTTCCGAGAACACCTCACGCATGCGCCAATCACGAGCGCCAGCTCCGCCTTCCGGATTGACCCCGCCCAGCTACTCAATAGAGAACAAGCTCCGCCCACAAATCTCTACCAACAAATAGAGAGTCAGCAAATTCTGTGGTTGCTAGGCTACGAGAGTACGGCCCAGCGCCTCCATCCGGGGCTTTCACGGAAGCCTCGCCTCCAGTCGGACAGGGACACGGGTCCTTTAAGGGAAGTAGGTCCGGCCCGCGGGCGCGGCAGGGGTGTGGCCTCCCAGAGTTCCTCCGCGGGCGGCGGCAGGCACGGGCTGCCCGGGACCCAGGCGAAGGCGGCCGGCGGCGTGAGGCGATCAGGTGGGTGGCGGGAGGACCGAGGCGGGTGGCGGGTGTGGCTGGGCCCCACGCAGGTCGGGTCCTCATCAGCGACCCTCGGTGCTGGGGCCACGGAGCCACGGGGCGGCTGCCAGGCGCCCCTCGTACCCCTCCTGCGGACCTCGGGACTTGAGTTTGCGTTATAGTTCATTGAAAAGAGAAGTGGCGGGGGAGATCGCAAAGTGGAGACACAAAACGGAACAGATCCCGGAGCGAGCCCGTGTGGATTTTTCTTTTTCCGTGTTTTGAGACAGGGGCCCGCGTATGCAGTTCAGGCTGGCCTCGAACTCACCGTGTAGCCCAGCATGGACTCGAACTCGCGACAATCCTCCTGCCTCAGCCTCCCGAGGGCGCCACCACGCCCGGCCTTTTTTTTTTTTTTGAGGCGACGCGTCTCCCTAGGTTGCAGAGTTGCCCTGGATGGATCGGAACTTGTGATCCTCCTGCCTCAGCCTCCCAGAGTGCTGGGACTGCCTGAGTCTGCCCTGTAGACCTGCTGACGCTTGCCTGTTTGAAAGGGGGTCCGTGTCCTGCCCAGCAGATGGCCTAGCAGCCGCGCTCTGCGTTCGAGCAGTTGAATGAGACCCCCCAGGGCTGGCGCCCCCATCTTCTCTACCCTCCACATGTTCAGCACGTGTGTCCTTCGCGTCCCGGTTTTGGGGTGTTTTGATTTCAGGTACCGGGACTCGAACTCGGAACCTCGTGCTTGTCAGGCAGGTGCTGCGCCGCTGAGCTTTATCCCAGCACCCGCCACGGTTTGACCTGTGAGCCGCCTCGCTTTCCCCTTCTGCTCCCTGAGATTAGCTTCCTTCTCAGGCCGGCTTGTTTTCTTCTCACCGCGGTGCTTGAGTTTAGGGGTTGTTTCCAAAGCAGCGCGACCGCGATAGCGGGGAGGGGGAAGGCGGGAGACCTGGGCAAGTGAGGCGCCGGGGACCGGGGAGCCAGGCTCGGCCTGTTACTAAAACTCACTGACTCCGGGCCGTGCACGCCTGGCATCCTACACTGGGGAGGCTGAGGCAGAAGGGTCGCCATGAGTTCGAGGCCAGCCTGGGAGGGACTAGGGAAAGTCCAGTGAGTCTCTGTTCCTGTTCCCTGCTCTCCAGTGTCCTTCCCTTCCCTGGAGCCAAATCACACTCACCTCAGCAACACCAGAACTGGGCAGCGGCTTTCCCCCTCTCTCTCCTGCCTCAGCCTCCCAGAGGGCTGAATTCTAAACTTTCCCCTTTCACCAAAAGCAGGAGCTGGATTTTTTTTTTTTTTTCATTCTGTTATTTGGTGCTAGAAATCTAACCCAGGGAAGAGCGTTATGCCCGTCTCTTAGGAGGTTTTCAAAACCACAGTTCCTGAGCTCGGTCAAGTTTTCCTGTTTTAATGAGTGCACTGGCCCATGTCATGTGTAGAAAGTCCCGGGCCCCAGGGCCTCTGAGAAGTTCTGTGTGGTGAGGTTGGTTCCTTGCAGAATTCCCCGAGGATGGCCCCGAGCGGGGGCTTGGAAGTTCTGGGCATTTCCCACTGAAGGGCGCGGTTCCAGTTTTCCTGGAATTCAGGGGTTCAGATGCTTTAACCAGAAAAGGCAAACCCCACTTGAGAAATCTGATGCCGGCCGGCGGAGGGCTTCACTCCAAGCCTCGGAGAGGATGTGCTTCCCTTTTCGCGGGAGCCGCCACACCCTACTGCCATGCCTCCTCCTCCTCTGCCCTCTCTTTTTCTCCTGCAGCCCCAAGATCAGGCCCGGGCTCCCCATGAGCTGCACCCCAGCCCCCATTCTCCTTTGCATTTCCTGGGAATGGCTTTTTTTCTTAGGTGCTCAGACCGGGAAACTAAATATCTGTTTATCCATGAAGATTCCCTGACCAGCAGGGCCGGGAGGCCCATGGTACCTGTAATCACAGCAGCACCTTGGAGGCTGAGACAGGAGGATTACAAATTCTAGGCCAGGCTGGACAAGAAACCAAGACCCTGGCTCAAACTAAACACTGAAAAGGGCTGGGTTTGTGGCTCCCTACAAAGGCCCTGGGCTCATCCCCCGTAACCTCCACCTAAAAAACCCTCCTAATGCCCACACTGTTGAGCGACTTATTTTTTAGGGAATGTACCCTGCCTGTCTGTCCATCCACACCAGGGCCTGCTGTTGCTTTTTTTCTGTTGGTTTTTGACACAGGAACTTGCTATGCAGTTCAGACTGTTCCCAAACTCACTGTGTAGCCAAAGCTGGCCTTAATCACCTGATCCTCACCATGATCCTCCTGCCTCAGCCTCCCAAGTGCTAGGATTACAGATGTGCCCCACCATGCTAACATGTTTTAGAGGTTGCACTGTCCTGGGTCACTCAAACGTCTACAGGTCTTCTCTAGCTGACAGGTTTCAGCTGTGATTGTCACTGTCCCCTAGGCTGTGACAGGGAGGGAGAGACAGGAGAAGCAGCCCTTCCCTTGACCAATTTGGGCCAGCCTAGGTCGAATTGGATTTCTGTTTGATTGATTGTTTTCTCTTTTTGCACTGGGAATTGATCTTAGGACCTTAAGCTCACCAGGCAGGTGCTTAGGCCCGCTGAACTCCATCCCCAGCCTGGAGCTGGGTTTCTGACACACAGGGTTAATCTCATCTCCCACAGGTGGTGCTGATCTAATTCTAAAATTCTCCAGTTTGATCTCGATGGAGCGGGTATTTGTGTTTTGTTTGTTTTTTTTGTGGGGCTGCGGATGGAACTCACAGCCTTCCCTCTGAGCTACCCTAGCCATTTTTTCATTTTCATTTTGAGTCAGAGTCTAGGCTGGAGTCGCACTTTTGATCCTCCTGCCTTAGCCTTAGTGTGTTGGGATGGCTGGCGTGCACCGCCCTTGCAGACGCATTGCCTGGTTTCACGTCCTGTTCTTCCATGGAGGGAGGGTAGTCCGGAGAAGTCAGCTACTTCTGGGGTTGGGACGCTGGGACTGAGTCCTTTTCTGGTGAGCAGTGCCCCTGGCCAGGAGCTCCCCCAGCAGTGACAGCCAAGGAGTCCGGGACATGGGCCACAGTCCCCGGCTGGGGGCGGGGCAAGTCAGGGAGGCGCTGGAGAGGGGTCAGCAGGGATTCGGGGTTGTCCAGGCCACTCATTTGGAGCTTGGAAGAAAAGGAAGTGACTAGGGGAGTAAGTCAAGGCAGGGTCACCCCCCCATGGGGACATAGAGCGCTGAGCTGGGCCCCAGGAACCCTCAGAAATCAGGACAGAGCCCTGGGGCCCAGGCGTGGCAGCACACATCTGTCATCCCAGGGCTCTGGGAGGCTGAGTCGGGGATCTGAACTCAGAGCCCAGCCTCAGCAGCTTAGTAAGACCCTGTCTCCAAATAAAGAGCTGGGTTTAGAGCTCGGTGCGATGGCCCTGGGTTCACCTGCAGTACGGCAAAACCCCAGCGTCTGTGCCCAGGCTGTGGGTGTGGGCTCTGGAAACCCCCAGGAAGCAAGGACCCTGGGCCTAATCCTCAGGGATGTGGCCCAGGTCGGGGGAGCCCCTGGGACCCCCTTGGCGAGTCCCCGGTACAGAGAGAGAGGGGGAACTGTTGGGCAAACCCTGAGGTGCTAACCCAAATCAAATTTGCCTTTGGGGTCTGGGGACACTGTGGCCACCACTTTGGGGAACTCCCTACGGCACTGCTCAGCTCCTGTAGCGCTGCAGAAGCCTCACAGAGAAAGCCCAGGCCCTGTGTGTGTACAGCGCTCGGAGGACCCTGGTCTAGTGAGAAATGTGCCAGACTTGGAATCGAAGGGTTGAGGCTCCCCCTCACACACCTGGGCTCAAGAGAGGCTGCTGACCTCAGTTTTCTGATCTGCAGGCTGGGTCAGTGCCTGACCAGAAGTGGTCAGTCTCCTGAAAGTTTCCCTTCTGGCTCCCAGCGACATCGCTGAGCTCATTATTAATAGCAAAAGCTCTCGGAAGCAGCTGTCAGTCCTGGAGTGTCAGGAACTGGCTGGGTATGGTCACACTCGCATGTCAGCCCAGCACTCGGGAGGCTGAGGCAGGAGGGTCGCTGTGGGTTCCAGGCCAGCCTGGGCGACGTAGTGAGACCCTGTCTCAGAACAAACAGAGAAATGAAAACCGTCCAAGCTGATCTGTGCACCCAGGCTGCCGCCCTGCAGCCGGATGTGGAAAGTTCCGGAAGGAAGTGGGCGCCGGGCCCCGCAGGGGTCGGACAGCTCTGTTTGGAGGAACCACTCATGCTGTGTTTTGCTTTCAGAAGAAAAAAAAAGGAAAAAAGGGGTGTGCTGGGAGAGGAGTTTGCCATCTTACCTTTTGACCTTCTAGAAGCTTCCAGCCTCTCCAGAGTCGCAGTGAGCGAGTGCAGAGGGCCACGAGCTGTCATCTCCCATTCTGATTGGCTGTCAGAGATCAGAGAGGACCCCAGAGACAGTGACCGGGACTCGGGGGACAGCGGTGAGAAGCTGTGGCCCAGGGCCTGTGCGTGGGGAGGGTAGATGGTGCATTTGTGTCAGAGGCACGGTGGCCTCTAACAGGGACTCTGCCTGTCTAAGACATTTCTAGAAAATAGGGGATAGGGATTTGGCTCAGCGGCATAGTGCCTGGTGTGAGGTCGTGAGTCCAATCCCTGGTACCAAACAAAGGTTATTGTCACAAAGGGTAGACAATTATCCACCCTTCTTGTTTTGGGGACGGGGCTCAAACCTGTGCCCTGTGCACTGGGCCGCGCCTCAGCCCTCGTTTAATTTTGTGTTTGAGGCGTCTCTTGCCAGGTGACATTGCAGTGACATTTGCAGTGACATTGCCCAGGCTGGACTCCAGCTCGAGACCTTCCTGCCTCAGCCTCCTAATGTCCTGGATGACAGGTGTCCACTGCCATGCCCAGCTCTGCTACTTTCTGAGAGGAGACAGAAGTGTGGACAGACCCTGCCAGGCTCTCTGCCACCCTGTTGTCTACAACAGTCTGGGTGGGAATCCATAGCCGGGTGTGAAGGATTAGAGACAGACAGACCCCAGCGAGGCGAGCTGGCCTGGTGGAGCCCGGGTCCCTGGGTTGCTGCTGGGGTGGGGCTGAGGGGCCCCACTCCTGCCTGCCCTGCTCAAGTGGTCTCACTGGAGGGAACCCCAGAACTGTCTGGAAAGGCCCTGAAAGAGTCAGAGCCCCTGGGGCGAAGGGCGGGGTCGAATGTTCTTGGTGCTGCGGTTGCTGTGAGCACTGGAAAGTTTGTGTCTGATAAATGAGGAACCCGAGGTGGAGCCGGAAGGACAGCGGGGTGTGGTGGCCCAGGCTTGCCATCCCGGCACTGAGGCCACAGGGTTGCAAGTTGGAGCCCAACCTGTGCCCCTTAGCATGACCCCATTTCAAATAAACATTCAAAGAGGGCTGGGGATGCTCAGTGCAGAGGCCCTGGTTCAATCCCCGGCACTGCAGACAAGGACATAGGCCGGGCCAAGTAGTGGCTGCCACTGGGTGGCTAAGGGACCTGGTGGCAGCTCACATGGTCCCCCAACCCTGTACAGAGAGCCCATGGCTTGGACTCTGTATGGGATACACAGGCCCCTCGAGGGGGACATAGGACTCGCCTCTCTGCTCCCCTGTAGATGGCGGTGCGTGGCTGAAGGCCACGGGCAGTGGTCTGTCACAGGTGTAGGAGGCCCGGTGTCCCCGGCTGCCAGCCCCCGGTCTGCCTCAGACCAGGAGTGGTGTTCAGGGCCGGCCCCTCTGAGGTGCACAGGCTGGCAGGGACCTGGTGAAGGGACACCAGCTGCAGGGCGGGATGGTGGACATTGCAACCTCAGGGTTGGGGTGTTTGGGGGCGCAGTGCCTGCACCCGAATGGTCTGGTACCTCTGTCTCCCAGGTCTCTCCATCCAGCCCCAGGGGCTTTGCACATAGATGCTGCCCCTTGGGATGCCGCGCCATGGCTGGGAGACCTGGAGGCCTGAGACATTTCTCGGGACCTGCAGTACCCTGGCTGCCCCATACCTGCCAGGGTCTCTAGTGCCTGGGTAGCAGCCCGGCCTCCCTCGGGGCAGCCAGCCACAAAGTAGAGGTGGAGCCCCCCAGTCCACTCCCTCAAAGGTGGGATGAGCTTGTCAGAGCCGGGCGGCAGGAGATGCAGGTGTGGGGAGGCCCTGGGTGACAGGCCCCAGCGCTGGGCTCCATGACCCCTGGGTGTAGCAGTGCTGGGACCTTTCAGAGACGGCTGCCTTTCCCTGGGGGCTGCGCCTCGTCCCGTATCTGCCCACCATTGGTGAGGTCTCCCTGTGCACCCAGGCTGGCCTTAAACTCATGGCAACCCTCCTGCCTCAGCCTCCCGAATGCTGGGATGGCAGCATGCACATCCACGCTGCCAGCAGGGCTGGCAAACCCCTGCCCTGCTGCTGTAAAGCTGCTCCTCCCGCTCCCTAGCCCCAGGCTCTGCGGCCACCCTGCCTCCTCGTTCTGCTGTCCCAAGTGTGTGTCCTCGTACCCAAGGCCCGAGGCCACCCGGGTTACACAGTGCAGGGACAGGCCCCATTGCAGACGCATCATGAATGTCACCAGCGCTGGTGCTCCGCCCCCCTCGGGGTTTTCCTGATGATGCTGGGGCCGAGCCTCACGGACTCAGTCCCAGGGCAGGAGGCTGATTTGGGGTCTCGGGGGTGGGGCGGGGCAGGGCTGCTTCTCCCGAGGTCTGCGGAGAACCCACCTCCCCACATCTGCCTCTCACCCTCCCAGGCCCACCCCACTTCCGCAGTGCTGGGGCGGAATCCGGGGCTCTGCACTGAGCTGCGTCACCAGCTCTTCTTTGGTTTTTATTTTGAAACAGGGACTTGTTTTGTCCCAGGGGACAGACCTAAGCTCAGGCCGTGGGCCACTCGTGAAAGACTGCAGAGATCAGGCGCAAAGCAAAGTGTCAGTCAGCGCCTCGTATTTGCTGGGCTCTTCTCAGCGGCCGTGTGTCCGGGACCCAGCACTGTGGTCCCCAGGGCCCCAGTCCTGCCCGGGGCCTCTCACCACCTGCTGTGCCACTTCCTGTTTCAGCCACTTCCCCTCCGCATCCCTGGGGAGGAGTCTGACCCAAGTCCCTAACCCTCCACGAGGCCCCGGGGTGCAGCCAGGTCCACGCTGCCAGGCGCCATCCTCAGCAGTGACAGAGAGGACAGTGGTGACCCGGGGCCGTCCTCTGTAGCAGAGGCACCACGGAGCTCGACTGGGAAGGAACCAGCCCTGCTGGGCCAGGGGGGCTGTGGGCAGAGAGAGGCAGGCAGGGGACAAGCACAGGCCGGGGGCAGCGGCCAAGCCACATCAGATGTGACTGGCTTCCTCCTCTTGTCTTCTTCTTTTTTTTTGCCTTGTTGGTTTTTTAAGTTTTTAAGTTTTGCATGTAGTTGGCCGGTTGGAACTCATGGAGACCCTCCTGCCTCAGTCTCCGGGGTGCCGGATGACAGGCGTGTGCCCTGCTGGAAGCGTGGCCCTTGGCAGCGTGATTCAGTTAGGGTGAGGCCACACACGGTCCAGCCGGCCTTGGCCAGGGACTGGGGATCAGACACAGTCACGCAGCGCACGCCCCAGGAAGGACAGGATGTTTCATCTGTGGATTCCAAAAGCCGGAGATCACGATGTGGGCGGGGCCGGCTCCTCCCCAGGCCATGGGAAGGGTCTGACACAGGCTGCGATCCTGACTGTCCCGTGGCTTCTGGCTGCCTCGTTCCAGTCTGTTCTAGGTTACTTTGAACTCACCGTGTAGCCCAGATTGGCCTCCAACTCCAAATGATCCCCCTGCCTCAGCCTCCTGAGTGCTGGGATGACAGGCGTGCACGACCTTGCCCGGCTTCTGCCCCTTCCGGGGACACTGGCATTGGTTTAGCGCCACCCGGGGAGCCCAGGATGGCCTTGCCACCACATCCTTAACTTACTCACCACTTTTCCCACATGAGGGCCGCCCCAGAGCGCGTGAGTCAGGACACGGGCAGGTCCTTGTGGAGGCCACCGTCGGGGCTGGAGCTCAGCAGGGGGAGGCGGGGGAAAGGCGAAGGGTCCCCAGCCTTGAGAGGCCCTGAGTGCTGTCCCTCTCTCTCGCTGACCCTCAGGGCGCAGGGAAGGGCCGGGACTTGGCCGACGTCCCCCGGCAAGCGGCCGAGTGCAGCCCCTGGGTCGCCGCCATGTCCAGCCCGTTCCTGAAGCAGGTCTTCAACAAGGACAAGACCTTCCGGCCCAAGCGCAAGTTTGAGCCGGGCACGCAGCGCTTCGAGCTGCACAAGCGGGCGCAGGCCTCGCTGCACGCGGGGCTGGACCTGCGCCAGGCCGTGCAGCTGCCGCCGGGCGAGGAGCTCAATGACTGGGTGGCCGTGCACGTGGTGGACTTCTTCAACCGCCTCAACCTCATCTACGGCACCGTGAGCGACGGCTGCACGGAACGCTCCTGCCCCATCATGTCCGGGGGCCCCAAGTACGAGTACCGCTGGCAGGACGACCACCGCTTCCGCAAGCCCACGGCGCTGTCCGCCCCGCGCTACATGGACCTGCTCATGGACTGGGTGGAGGTGCAGATTAACAACGAGGAGATCTTCCCCACCAACGTCGGTGAGCGGGGCGGGGCGGGGCGGGGCGGGGCGAGGGCTTCCCCTACCGCTCCCCACGCTTGCTCACAGGCTGAGGCAGGAGATCCGCTGGAGTGCTGCAGGGCCGGCTCGGGCTGCAGAGCCAGGCCCGCTCCTAAAATACCAAAAAGAAGCAGCCGGCCATGGGGGTGCACGCCTGTCATCCCAGCACTCGGCAGGCTGAGGCAGGAGGATCGCTGTGAGTTGGAGGCCAGCCCGGGCTGCAGAGTGAGACCCTGTCTGGAAAAAAAAAAAAGACAGTAACAGCAAAACAGGAGCCCAGGGCCGGGGATGTAGGTCAGTGGCACAGCGCCTGCCCGGCAAGCACGAGGTCATGAATTCCATCCCTGGTACCAAAAAAAAAAGAGAGAGAGAAAGAAAGAACGGCCCGGAGAGTTTAGCTGTGCTGTCTGTCTTCCCAGTTAACTGTTTTGCTGAGCTGTGATTCCTTTGTTGTGTCCTTCACACACACGCACCCTGTATTTCTTGGGGTACCAAGGATTGAGCCCAAAACCTTGCACTGAGCTTGCATTTCTTTCCGTTTTCTACTTTGAGCCCCGGGCCTTGGTGAGTTGCCAGGGTGGGCTGGATCTCCAGGCCCTCCTGCCTCAGCCTCCAGGAACACTGCCGCTAGAGCGCGTGCTGCCGCCTCCCCGGCTTCCTTCACCCTTTTTCAAAGTGTGTACTTCGGCCACGTGTGGTGGGACATGCCTGTAATACCGGCGCTTGGGAGGCTGAGGCAGGAAAGTCTTAAGACGGAGCCCGGCATGGGCTACACGCCAAGGCCACACACACTCCAAGGGGAAAGATGGGCTGCAGGCTGGGCGCATCCCACCCTGGGTTCAGGGTGCATCCAGGACCCTCAGAGGTGGGCGCCGAGTGCACGCGTCACAGGAGACCCCACGTGAGGCTCCTCGGGCCTCGGGTTCCAAGCTGGCGCCTCTGAGCTGCACAACTCTGTCGTCCCGTTGTCCTGGGGTCTGAGGGCAACTCAGGCCTCCCTGGGCGCCGTCCTCCCTCCCAGGACGCCAGGGAGAACCGGGGCCCCCATCTCAGCTCCTGGTGGCGTCCACAGCCTTGGCTCTGGTCCTCACAGGCCATGGGGCAGCCTGGCAACACTGGCTGGGTTGAGCGACCCCTGCGTCTCAGGGAGAGATATGTGAACTCTTAGGGTAACAGCGGTGGTCAGTGCCCTGGACGTCTGGACAGAGAGCCCTGGGGGGCAGGAAAAGAAGTGTGGCCAGGAGGTGGCAGCTGGGGCTCCTGAGGGTGCTGTAGGAGGGCGCACTGCTCAGGAGGACCAGGATGGGTCCCCCGAGGAGTCTTCAGTGCTGGTGACAAGGGCGTGGGCGCTGTGACCTTGGCCAGGTCTTTTTGTTGTTGTTTTTTGCTTTGTTTTGTTTTGCTTTTTCTGAGGCAGGGTCTCACCTTGTAGCCCAGGCTGGCCCAGCTCGCGGCAACCCTCGTGCCTCAGGCTCCCCAGGGCTGAGGTGCCGGTGTGTGGGCAGCTGTCTTAACCTCGCTGAGCCTCTTCAGCAGACGTGTCTGCAGTCCAGAGGTGTGGCCCGGCTCCGGGGAACCTAACCTGTGAGGTCCTTCACCCTCTGTCCCCTGCAGGCACCCCGTTCCCCAAGAACTTCCTGCAGGCCGTGCGGAAGATCATGTCACGTCTCTTCCGCGTCTTCGTGCACGTGTACATCCACCACTTCGACCGCATCGCGCAGATGGGCTCCGAGGCGCACGTCAACACCTGCTACAAGCACTTCTACTACTTTGTCACTGAGTTCGGGCTCATCGACACCAAGGAGCTGGAGCCGCTGGTGAGCGGGGGGTGGGCGGTGACGAGGCACACGCACCCGTCGTCCGGCAACCTGGGGCTGAGGCAGGAGGGTCGCAAGTTTGAGCCCAGCCTGGGTAACTTGGTGACTTGGGGGACCCTGCCTCACAAGCCCAGAGGGCCGAGGGGCAGCTCAGGGCAGTGGCCCTGCAGTCAGCCCTCAGGACGGCGTAAAGAGAGAAAGAACTTCCAGGAGCAGCCGGCCTGCTGCCCAAGGGCTCTGTGCTCCCCCTCCTGTGGGCGCCCCGGGGTGCACAGGGTCCCTGAGCAGGGGCGGCACCCCAATGGCCATTCTGCCCTGTTGCCCCACCAGACGGCGGACACCCCAAATCCTGGGCCACCAAAGCAGCCCCGCCCCCCGCCTGCTTTCCCAGACCCCAGGGTCCAGGCCTGGGCGTCCCGTTGCCCAGCAGCCTCCCCACTGGACTGTGAGGAGCCGCTTTTCTGTTCGTTGTGGTTGTGGTTGTTTTTGAGGCAGGGTCTGGCTGTGTAGCCCGGGCTGGCCTCAAACTCACAGCGATCCCCCTGCCTCAGCCTCCCCAGGGCTGCTGACGGGCCACATACCGGGCTTCCCGTGCGCGTTAACCGCGTGGCCTCCCGTGTGTCTGTTCCTGCAGAAAGAAATGACCGCCCGGATGTGTCACTAAGGCCCAGCCAGCCCCAGAGACTCATGCCGGGCATCTCAGACTCGGACAGCTTCAGTCCCTCCGCTGAGTGTCACGGGGACTTTCTGCCCTCACCAGCTGGCTGCACCGAGTCCTCAGAAGCCTGGGACCACGGATTCCTCCCTCCACGGCCACAAGTCGCCTGCCTGAGCCTCAGCCTCCCATCTGTGGAGGCGGAGGCAGGACTTGAACTCGGGGCCAAGCGTCCTCAGCGACCAGGAAGCTGCGTCTACAGGAGGACGCCCTGCCCCGTCCCTCATCCCAGCCCCCACTGCCCTTTCCAAAGAGGTACTGCTGGGCCCCTTGGGACCTTGGTCACCCAGGGGTCCCTCTCTGGCCACCTCAGTTCCTGCAGCAGCCCCTGGTCTGTAGATTCAGGCCCTGGGCCTAATGTGACCCTCCTGCCTCAGCCTCATCTTAAAGCTGTCATCACCAGGGAGTAGGAGACTGAATTTGTGGACCACCTCACACTCAGGCATCTTGACAGCCTCCTAAAGCTGTTTTAAAACTGATCACAGGGGCTCACACTTGGGAGGCTGAGGCAGGAGGACTGCCGAGAGTTCAAGGTCAGCCTAGGCCGCCTTCCCAGACCCTGTCTCCCCACAAACAAAATTTTTTTAAACCAGTTCACCTCAAGCCTGCTCTCCGGAGCTGTCATCCAAGAATGAATTCGCTTGGGGCCAGTTCCCTCATCCATTGCTGCCCAGGCATCGGCCTACCCTGGGTTCTGAGAACCTTCCGGTGAAAACCACTTTGTAAGCTGGCATGGCAGCACCCTCCCATCACCCCAGCCCTCTGGGAGGCTGAGGCAGGAGGATCCAGAGTTCAAGCCCAGCCTGGGCAATGTAGCAACTTGAAATAAAAAACTAAGAAAGAAGTGGAGGGCAGAGCTGGGGCAGAGGCGCAGGGATGCATCCCCGGTACCACGGAAACAAACCAAAGAAGATCATTGCTGTCTGCGCCCTGCTGGGCCAGGAGACCGCACTCCAGGCCTCCCTTTGAGACCATCTCGGCCACACCTGCCCCGGCTGCATCTTTGACCCCAGCAGCCCGCTCACAGCTGAACCAGTGCAATTACCACAGTGCTGGGGACCCAGCCTTGGTCCCAGAGGCCACCAGGCGGCACTCAGAGCCCCGGGACTCTGCCCGACAGGTGGCCTGGCTGTGTCTCCTGGCCGCAGCAAACTCCAGACCCGGGCGCCCTGCCCCTGAGGACGCCATCCCCCACCCCCGCCACCAGCCTGCAAATAAAATTTCGGTACCAGGGCTGCGGACTGTCATTGGCATTCACCACGGGGGCACCCCGAAGTACAAGGGTGCCACTTCAAGTTCAAGGGGTGCTTAGAACAAAGGCATCTGGGGAAAGGGCTGCCAGTAGAGTGGCGCACACCAGTAACCCCAACGCTGTGGGAGGCTGAGGCAGGAGGGTTTGCAATTCTAGTCACTGGACTGATGAATGAGAGAGTGAGACCCTGTCTCAAAATAAAGACAGGGTGTCACCCAGCAAAGGTCCGGTTTCTTCCCCAGCTGGGATAGGGATCACCTGGATTTCTTTCTCTGTGTATGGGCCAGTTGGTTTTTGGAGACGGGCTCTCACTATGTAATCTAGGCTGGCCTTGAACTCACAGCAATCCTCCTGCCTCAACCTCCTGAGTACTGGGATGACAGGCGGACGCCACCACCATGCCCAGCGGGGCCACCTGGGTTTCTAATTTCTGTTTCACCTTAAGCTCTCACCAGTGTGACTTTCACTCTGGACAATGTTTGGTTTCTAAAAGAAAAGGAAGCAGAAAATTTAACTAGGTGCAAAGAACACTTTACAAACTGAATGTGGTGGCCCACACCTGCCGTCCCAGCACTGGGAGGCTGAGGCAGGAGGATCACTGAGTTCAGGCCCAGCCTGGGCTACAAAGTGAGCTCAAGGCCAGGCTGACCTGAACAGCAAGACCCTGTCTCAAAAAGAAATATATATAAATAAAGCACTTTACAGGCATAAGACTCTTAAAACAAAATTGAGGGGAGGCAGACTGTGCCCCGCCATAACCCTGCCCTGCTCTGGTGTCTTAATCTTAGGTCACCACATTTGTCACAGGGGCTGTAACTTGCAACCTTCCTGCCTCAGCCTCCCAGAGTGCTGGGATGACAGACCTGGGCCACCTTGCCTGCATCTTTTTTCCTTTATTTTACTTTTGTGACACATGAAAAATACGAGGATACAGTAACAATCTCGGGGTCCCTTTTTGTATACAGTGCCAAAGCTTTGGGCTGACTCTGACTAGTTTCGAAGGCAACTGCTCCTTTGTGATGCTGCTACAGCCCGTGCTGTGGACCCTGTGAGTTGAGCCAAGGCCACCAGTGCCCCTTGGGTCCGGTGCTGCAGCTCCCTGTCCCTAGAGGGCGCAAGGCCCCAGGAGGTGAGCAAGGGTCTCACTGCTTGGTGCTTGCCGGCCTCAAATTCACGGTGACCCTCCTGCCTCAGCCTCCTGAGTGCTGGGTTACCCGCCTGCACCTGTCTACTCACCTCTATCTTGCAGCAATGGCGGTGGGTCCCAGGGCTCCATGTGTGCAGACAGGCGCCCAGCCTGAGGTACAGCCCTGTACCATCTAACTTTGGGAATCTTGCTAACAGCCTTTCCATCTAACTTCGGGAATCTTGCTAACTTGCCCAGGCTGGACTTGAACTTGAGATCTTCCTGCCTCAGCATCATGACAACATGAGAATGTTTCCTCCTACAGGGACCCTTCTTACCCCTCCTGGGCACTGTGGGCACCGGGGCTGGGTTCAGCCCCCAGCACTGAAAAAAGACACGAAAAACAAACCCTCGGGCCGGGGTTTAGCTCAGTGGCATAAACCGCCTGGCAAGTGCAAGGTCACGAGTTCAATCCCCGGCACCAGAAAATAGAACCCTCTTGCTCCGGCCTGCACTTTGTCTCTGGAGCCGTCACCATCACCGCCATCACACACAGAGACACTGTTGCCCACCAGACACTGCCAGCTGAATGGGTCACCTGGGCACCATCCTGTGCCACTGCAGAGCTGGCTTTGTTGCTGGAAGGTCTTTGCTGAGGTCCAGTTTGCACACATTCCATCCACCCACACACCTATCACCCGTCTGCCTGTCTGTCCGTCTATGTATCTATCCATCTGTCTGAGACACAGGCAGCCCTTCCCGCATTCACAATGGTCCTCAACAGCCACCTCTGTCCATTTTCAGAACATTGCAGTAACCAGGTGGGGCAGCACAGCCCTGTCATTCCAGCACGCAGGAGGATTGAGGCAGGAAGGTTGCTTTTGAGTACAAGGCCAGCCTGCGTTGCATAGCAAGACCCTCGCTCAAAAAAAAAAAAAAAAAGAAAAAGAAAAAGAAAAACAACATTCGTCTCCCCAAAAGGAATCCCCAGGGACCCCCTTATGCAGTCCCCCATCTTTTCTCCAGCCCCCTGCACCCACGAGTCCACTTCCTGCTTCTGGAGTCACCTTTCCTGGGTGTTTCCTGTCCCTGGAGCCCACACTCTTTTTCTGTGGCTGGCGTCTCTCACAAGGCATGATGTCCCTGAGGTCCATCTGCGCCTGAGTGTCGCAGCCTGGCTTCCCAGAGTGGGCACCTTCCCCTGGGGGGCTGGGCCAACCAGGATCTGGCCACCCTCGGGGCGCTGGGCCGTGTGCAGCGGCCCCATGTGCCTTGTACCCAGCCTGACCTTCCGCCGCCTCCCAGGGCAGCTGCCCCAGGGGCGTGGCCGCGTTCCTAGATATTTCTGGGGCGCTGCTCTGCTTTCCAAGCCGGAGTCAGTGGGTGGAAAACAAAGGCAGCTGACAGAGTCGCCACGCCTGACCACCCTGGGGACGCTCCTCCCCCCGGGGACGCAGGACAGGGCTGGCCCTGCCCAGTGGACCGCAGGGTCCTGTCCACCCGTGGCTGGGCCTCGGGAGGCTTCTGTCGTTGGTCTGTGTGTGGAGCACCGTCCTGGACACAGTCAGGCTGGGTCTCTCTCGGGGCCCCTCCGCAGGCCCCGTGCTGATTCACCAAGTTGCTGGAAACTTCTGCTTTGGGCCAGGCACTGGCAGCTGCCCCTGCTGACCTCGGTGTGTGACAGGCACAAGCCAGGCTAAGGCCCCACGCAGGGTCCCAGGAGGGTCACGGCACAGGGAGGTGACCCAGGGGCCCGCAGACGTTCCATAACTCCCAGGGACAAAGGCTTTATCCTGTGTGGCCAGTCAGGCCAGGCAGCCTGGTCTCCCGGGACTGTGTCATAGAAGGCTCATGGGAACCTGGGTGTCATCTGACGCTTCCAAAAGACCAGTCTGGCTGGGTGTAGGTGTGCACACCTGTCATTTTGGCCACTAGGGAGGCAGAGGCAGGAGGGTCTCCAGGGCTTTCTGGAGAGGGGACCCTGCAGGGCCTGTCCTTCTGTGTTGGGCTTGGGTCCCTGACCAGTGCAGCCTTAAAACCTGTCTTCACTGTCGCGGTGTCAGGAGTTTCCTTCCTTTTAACCATGTTCCATCGTATGAATTGCCACATTTAAAGTACTAATTAATTAATGGATGGTTAGGCTGCTGGCACTTTGGGACTTTGCAAAATCCCTGGTCCTGTTTTTTGTTCTTTTGAGACAAGGTCTCACAATGCAGTTCACGCTGGCCTCGAGCTCACTGTGTAGCCCAGGCTGGTCTCAAACTCACAACGATCCAATCCTCCTGCCTCAGCCTCCTGAGTGCTGGGATGACAGGCATGTGCCACCACGCCCAGCTACTGCTGCTATGAACATGGGAACAGCCTTCCTAGTTTTCAAGATAGTATCATCCAGTCACCGTGGTGCAGGTCTGTCACCCCAGCACTGAAGGAGGCTGAGGCAAGAAGATCACTAATTCAGGTCCAGTCTAGGCAAATCAGACCCTGTTTCAAAATAAAAAATAAGAGGCTGGGGATGTAGCTCAGTGCAAAGGCCCTGGGTTCCACCCACAGTAGCGAGCATGCGTGGGTGCGTGCGCACACACAGGTACCAACAAAAACAGGAAGGAAGGACGGACTGGAGGGAGGAGGAGGTAAGGAAATGAGAATTCACCCACTTAGCTGGGGCAGGACATGGTTCAAAGGGAAGGCGGGAGGGGGGAGACCCGTGCCACTCAGAGACCCGCACCGTCCAGATGGCGGGCCTGGTACCTGGGTTTCCCTGCCATCTGGTCAGTGGTGAAGGGCAGGGCGGGTACAGGCTGCCCAGGTGACTTGGGCCCATCAGCTCAGCACCAAGACATTGAGATGCTGGCCTGGCAATCTGTCACGGCAGCAATAGGACCCGCTGCCCCCGCCAGGCTACCCGGGGACATGCTGGGAGGGTGTCAGATGTGCCGGTCTAACTCGGGGCCTTTCAGACTCTGCCACAATTCCGGCTCAGAGAGAGGAGATGGGGGTCTGATGCCGGGGCTCTCATGTAGGGGCTGGGGAGAGGGGGCTGGCTTTGACAGGGGTAGATGGAGACTCTAAAACATGCACATCTTGTTCTGTTTTTTTTTTTTTTTTTTTTTTTTTTGGTCTTTTTTGAGATGGGGGTCTCACTATGCAGTTCAGGCTGGCCTCGAGCTCACTTTGTAGCCCAGGCTAGTCTCCAACTCACAAGGATCCTCCCACCTCAGCCTCCAAGTGCTGTGACGACAGGTGTGAGCCACCACGCCCAGCTTCGGTTTGTTTTTTGAGATGGGGCAGGGGGTCTCCCTAAGTCACTAAATTGCCCAGGTTGGGATTCAACTTGCAATCCTCCTGCCTCAGCCTCCCAGACCCTGGCAGGACAGAAGTGCATGCATAGCTTTTCTGGCACCTGTGGGGCCACAGGGACCCGGGTAGAGGTGGCATGTTAGCTGTTTCTGTGCTATTCGTTGCCCCTTATAAGTGGGAACCAGTTCTTTCACCGTTCGGTCCGCACCTCGAGTAAAGGGCAGGTAACCCTCGGTTACAGCTCTGCGCATGCGCATGTTCCTCTCGGTTTGGAATTTGCCCTTATTGCTCGGTAAAGTTCCCAGTTGTGTTTAGGGCGGGACAGACTACTCCCCCTGCTTAAGTGGGTTTGCTCTTAATGATCTTGTTTTTCTTGGCGCTGGCTTCTTGCTATCTCTGCTAAGCGTATAGTCTTTGAAGACTGACCTGACTTCCCATCCCCCATCTCTTCTCCCTGCTCCTTATCTTAATTCTATGGCCTTCAAGACTGGTCCAATTTCTACCTCTGCATTCTCTGCTGGCATGTCTGGTAAGCCTAGCCGTCTTATTTCTTTCTCA